AGACGTATGTATACGGATCACACACAACAATCACAATGCAAATGAGGATAATTATTAGATCTGAGGATAATTATTAGATCTTTAATCGTGCATTTGTATGAATTAATTTAAATTTATTGAAAGTGCTATAACTTGTGTGACTTATTTTACAAATATTGTTTTGCATTTTTTATTCAGCTCTCCATATATAATATATGAATAACAATAGATGCGCGTACCATGTATATTTATAAAATGATATTACTCATTTATTAATAATTAAATCAAATAATTGGCTTGTTAAGTTAATTTGCATTTATATTGCCACATATAATAATTATTTTTATGGTAGAAAATATTATATCGATAAAACCGTAATATGCCAACATTACTGATTAAATCTCTCTATCGGAAAACATATGAGCAGCCTGAATCGATTTGTCAATCGAGCTCGTTCTACAACTATATTTCTCATTCTCTTTTCAAGAGTATTTTTAGATTGATCTATAAATTATTCTGCTTATTTGTAATTATAGAGAATGTTTCGACAAAATACTAATCTATTTTTCTTTAGTAAAAATTTATAATAAATTTTTGAATAAATATTGAACAAAAAGTGTTTATAACTTTTTGACAGAGATAAAGTAAAACATGGAATTTTTATAGAGAATGATATTGCTTTACATAATAGAATAATATCGCTTTTACAGTCAAAAAGAAAAGCAATCATTATAGGATGCTCTATATAAGACTATGTTTACATCGAGAGATGAATTCCAATTGACACGAGTTAATCAAACATTGCAATCTCTTCATCATGTTGACTAGCTAAATGTTCTTATAACTCAATTTTTGCAAGATTAACCATGTCCGCTGGCATCGACGGTTATTGCGTCACGCTATTGTTAGCAAATCTACGTTTTATTTATGTATTCTTGTATAACGAGTACAATATATGCATTACGTACGCGACACATAGCGATAACTACGAAATGCATATAAATGCATCTACAATGACGTTGAAGTTACAATAGCGAACAATGTATTGCGGAATCGGCTCGGTTGTATTAGTTGTCGCTTTATCGCGCGTGTGGGAACATTTCATAAAAAAGATGCGACTGACACATGCATATCGCTGCGAAAGTTTTCGTCTCGAAATTACTGATGTGCGCGATTTGTATACATAATTTAATTTAAACTAGATTGAGAATTATCACAATAAAATTAAATAAATAATATAAAAAAATTGATAGGTTTTGCAAATATGATAAATACGCATAATTGTGAATTTTTTGTGCGAACGTGAAATATTTAGCAAGAGTAGACATGTATATATTTGTAGAATTTATTTGATTTATGATAAAACTCCGAAAAAAAAATCTCAGAATGATTAGTGCAACGCTTTTACATCCACACATGTTCGGCTAAAATTGATATCGTTCGAGATTCCATAAATATCGCTCGGAGTAGCATTTGCGATATGCGATCAGCGATCATTCGAATTTGCCCATGCGTAGCTCTTATCAGCCTGGGTGCATAAATTTTATAGGATTATCGTCCGTACAGTATTACGCACAATGTACGAATGATAAAAAGAGGGCCATCACGTTGACTATCACCCACATTATTCAAAAACCAATAGTGGCGACAGCATGATTGAATCGATTTAAGAAGTGATAGAATAATATCAATATAATGTGAAAAAAATAATTTATATAGAATACAATTGCGTTATCATGGCATGCTCCGTTTAAAAAAACAAACATTTAATAAAGTCAACGTAAAACAACAGAAAATGAGATGACTAAATCGCAATGTTATTGTAGCAGTTAATTGCATAAATACAACATTATTTACGTTATTTTTTTTCTTTTATTATTACTTACTATTCCGGACTTCTTCCTATCGTTTATCTAATAACAAGACTACTGAATTCTCAATTTTTACGATTTTTAGATGTAATAATAGTATTATTATGAATAGTATTATTATATAAATAGGACAAAATAAATAAGAAAATAGAGAAGTGCAAAAGGAATGATGTCAAATTTTAAACTTTTTAAAAAAAAGTTTGATTTTAAGTTGGTCAAGAATTACAAATACACATACAGATACATTTGAGAATTTTATAATATCGTAAGATTGACGCACGTTCTGATGGTGAGGAAATAATTTTTGGCAAACTGCAGATAGTACTGTGTATTTCGCAGAAAATAAAAACCTTTTAATGCGAACGAATACAAGAAAAACGGCCAAGATCTCAAGGTTGAAAAATCGACACAACATAACTACAGTCTCTAGATCGAAATTCGATTATCGCATTATTAGATTTACCGTGGCACTACCGGGAACAATTATCGGGAACGTGTTTTTCTAGGGAAATAAATTTTTATCGGACGTTAACGATATTAACCGCGAGGGCTATACTTAGCATGCCCTTACGTTGCCACGTAGCTTTTTTTTTAGATATGATTTGATTTATCCCGCCCATCTCGTTCAGCGCGCGGTTACGCCTAAGTAAGCCGGGGACGATAAATTCGACGAAATTACGCAGATTTATAGCTCGCGACTTTTCTCGAACATAATAAAATGAAGACGACGGCGCCAGAGTCGTCTAATTCGCATTAATGGCAACTGGTGTAAATTTAATATGAATTTTAAATGTTCTCTTGGAATGTTAACTCGATATAGAGTAAATTTTTGTTTTCTGTTTATTTTCAATATTATTTTTATCAAAATAAAAAGCATGAAAATGATCCGTGTAGAAATATCACAAACAAAGAAATATACTGTATAATTTGAAATAAAGATTTATCTTATTTACAATAGGGAGAATTAGTAGAGAGAAGGAAAGAAAGAAAGATATCAACACAAAAACAGTACTTCTAAAATTTCTTTTGAAGTGAAAAACATAATTTGCAAGAGATACAGATTTAACAAAAATAGGAACCTTCTCTTCATCAATTTTTTAACAAATACGTTGCACAAAATAAAACAGTGCGAAATTTTCTGCATTAATTGTATAATATAATAATTTCTTTGATATGATCAAAAAGAACAGAAATTCCCTGATATAGAGCTATAAACGTATCGTTTCATTCGTTGATGAAAATAAATATGCATATGTGAAATAACGGTCCGTGACCATCAATTATTTAGAACGATGGCTCCAATTATCTATCCATACTATAGATACCGTTCAAAGTGAATTGTGATTATACCGCAATAAAATATTACTTGAACAAACATCAACAAAAAAAGGACAAAATAAAAAATATAAGTAAAAATAACAAAAAGGAAAAATAATAAATTTAACTATATATCATATAATATTTAAACTTCATTTCATTAGAGATATATTCAGAGATTGTAAATTGCATGAAATTGTATAAAGCGCTATTTGTAGATTATTTACAATTTCGCGAAATATAATCTATTCTCTTTTTTTGCTATTTGATATTTTAATAGAACAATGCGAGAAATTTATTACAGATATTTTATAAAATTAAAAATTGTTCTATATTTAAAGTTCACACAACAATTTTTAAATCCATCGTTACTTGGACGCGCTATTTGACTGCAGAATGATTCTGCCTGTACATTACTGTCGTCAAACGATGGCAAGATGTTCTTCGTGGGTCGCGAGTTGAATAGTTTGTTAGCTGAGAATGCGCCAACTTTTCTCCATATATATCGAAGAGACTATTGTTTCATCTTTCACGCCTTCAACCAACCCCGCAATCTCACCCTCTTCGTCTTATTTAGCGTTTCATCTAACAGCCAACTTTCTGCATCTTGGAGGATGCTTGGTAAGATATGAGCAAAAGTTTCAGGACAATATCTGCATTATTTGATTAAAATGTAGCTAAGTAAACAATAAGATTGTCATTCAATCGCGTTTTCTTATTATGACAAAATAAGAAAGATAAGAGATGAGAAGAAAAATACAGGTAATTTAAATATGGAAATTTTAATTTCAAAAATATACGATTGGACTCTTCTAGCTTGTAGATAGATACTGTTTTTCTTATCACAGTCCTCGTTTATGATAACCCGGAATCCATGTGAACTATATGTTACATGTTTATGATTATAAAACAAGCTATCTCGAAATGGCTGGAAAAAGGACTTGATAAAAACACTGTTTCAATAGAATGCATTTAAACTTTTTCTCCCATCATAAAAATATCATACGGAATATTTGGAAACAACTACAACTCTTAATGGAACTAGAGTTGTTTCGAATAAAAGTTTTAAACGCATGTTTTTCAAGACACTATTTTATTTACTATGTTCTTTCGTAGATCATCACAAACAATAATATTCTCAATATTCAATTACCGTTGCTTAATTATTCATAAGCCAAAATTGAAAATTTACTTGAGATTGAGTATATCGTTCCGTCAAATTAGAATCCCACGGTAAAGATGAAATGCTTGCCTTGAGCGAGTACTTCGAGACAGCTATTTGGCACTCAATCCGTTGCTAGAATATGTGAGGTAGTAGCGAGTTGCTCGTATAATCAGAACGTTTCTCTCTTGGAGTTTACTACCCTTTAATCCACGAGCGTATGTACGATAAAGCGTATATATATACGTTGAAATCGTGGTACATAATTTTCTATTTAACGATGGAAGAGATAGTAGCTTAATAGTAGAACAATTAATATATCGCCGAATTATTGTATGAGAAATACATAGATAATATATAGATCTATGTATATTTACATCCTAATCTTATTTAACGCTGAATACGCCTAAGTTCTATTGATCTAATTTGGAAAGTATATATTTAATGTTAAATCAAATGATACGAATAATTCGTATGTACATGTTCACATATACGCTATAGTCTTGAATATCTAGACAGAAAATTTTTACAGAAAATCATATAATATTGATATTGCATTCATATTCCATACTTATTTATTTTTCACATTTCTAATCACAAAATTATTATTCAATTTTTGTAATTATAAAATTAATTATTAAAACTATAGGTATGTATGTAATTAATTTTAGATGCAACCTAAAATGACTGTCTTGTGCACACTGATGGCGTTTGTGATGGTCGTCGCAATTTCGAGTCTCACAGTCGATGCAATACCGCACAGGTAAAGTAATTCTTATTTTCTTACAAGAAATTAAATGATAAGAAAAAGCTTGAGAGAAAGATATACTGATAAGTATTATGAAAGTAAACGTAAACAAAACCATATATACATGCTTATCTATGTACTTGTCTGCGACAGGAGAGATTATTCTCTTTTTCTCTTTTAAATTGTTTCTAAAATAAAGTTTTTTATTACACAATAAAATAAATTTAATTTAGATTAAAAACAAAAAGACAGTAAAATTTTTAGCTACACAGTAAGCTTGCGCAAAAAGTCACGATATGTAAAAATAATTTTTAAATATATTCATAGAATATCAAAAAATGCAAATCGCGTGATTGCTCCGAGCGCGTATTTACAATTAAACGAATATATCGAACAAGAATAGAAATCCGCTTCGAATAGTTTAACCCAGTTCTGTCTGACGACATACTAACTATAGAAAGGAATCTCAGTAACTGAAAGTGACTTGCCGAATGACGTTCCAGACAATCACGATAGGGGTGATTTGAATTGCATGTAGGCATACCTACATTAACATTATTCTTGTATTATATTTACGAACTTTCTTCTTATTGTTTAATTTATAGTCTAATCCGAAGCCTTCGCGTTTTGGCTTCAATTCGTATTCGGCCAATTAAATTATATTCTTCGTACATTTTTACGTTGTATAATACCAAGCCTGTTGCTATATGTCATTTTCGCAATCAAAGTTAACCGATCGATCCAATTTTGCGCACGCAGCCATGAAAGTTACTGGGATCAACAGGATGACATAGACCGAGACGAGTTTTTAGAGCTACTTTCTCGTCTAAGTCGCACCGTTATGAACCGTCCCGAAATGGAAAAGTAAGATGTTCTAACGATCTTAATAATTTACTAAAATGCATAATATTATATATGTATTTTATATATATTTATAAATATATATATAGAATATATCTGTAGAATTTTTAAAATTAAAATTATTTTCTAATTTAATTTAATTTTATGATTAAATTAACTTAAATTTTAATAGAAATTATTTTCAAAAAATTTTGAAATTTAACCGTTAAATCTTCAAACCAATGTTTTACATTCAGAACATTGCCGATATCCTTCATATCATGACAGTTTTTACATTACATTTGCCTTTATTTTAATTCCATCAATTATAAATGAATTGAATGCATTTTAAAAAGGGCTTTATTTTTAAAATATTGAGAACGTATATTCACTGTACGCGTTCTCTTTTTATATCGAAATGTATTTATATGAAAAAGACTTTTTATTATTGATATCAAAGAAATAATAGGGGATCAAGAAATAACAGGGAAACATTCATATTAATTTTAATATGCGTGCCTTGTATTTCTTGAGAAACGAGATTTTGGGACAATATTTTTTCCAAGATGACTGATTGAAATAAATATAATAAATGTGGAATCGTTCGCAGCAGCAAACGAGGATTGGATCTGGGTCTCAGTCGTGGCTTCAGCGGTTCTCAAGCGGCGAAACATTTGATGGGACTCGCGGCGGCGAATTATGCCGGCGGTCCCGGACGGAGGCGTCGCTCGGAACAGGCGTAAATCGCAGACACGATCGCTGATGCAAAGAGATTACTATCCGTAATAACTATCCGTAATAATGTCACTTTTGACTCGATCTTTCCACTTTGTCTCTATCTCGAGCTTGAACCGCCACCAATTTCGAAATCGCCGTTGCCAGTGGCGTGACTGAATGAGCATGCAATTAAATCCTCTCTATTAATTATTCCTGCTCTTTTCCTAAATAAATCTTAATAGAATGTGCATAAATATGTACGCGTGTCCATCTCTTTAGAACGTAAATAGAATAAGTTCGTTATCAGTCTAAACTTGCGATAATAGTAAATTAACAATCGATGTTGACAAATTTAATCAATTTTTCATCTCTCTCTAGCCTTTGCACTTAAAACTTTGTACATTCCTCCATTTAGTTGCACCACTGGCCGTTCGTGTCTGCTGCATTGTTAAATTGCGAATTACTTTTTGTTTTATATCCTTTTTGTGGAAGTGAATGTGTGATAATATTGCTTGGCAGAGATGCTTTCATCTAAAATTAATGTAAAATAAAAAGAGTACCTATATGCATTTTTCAAATTATATAATGGATACAAACTGGCATACCAAAAAAAGATTATTTATTATACAAAAACATTATGGTCTAATCTTACAATTATTAAAAAAGATTAATTATTAAAAATAATTTTTAAATAATTTTACAGATTAATTTAAATCAAAATTATTTATTCGCGAAGGAATTTGTGCATTAATATTAAAATTTTACTATAATTTATTAAGATAATTTTCTGAATTAATATAGAGATTAGATATTTTTTTAAAATTAAAATTTTTCTTTCTTTTCAACTAGCGAGCAAAAATTCGAAAGCATCTTAAAAGCATCCATTATTATTATTGCCTTTTTCTCTTTTTTCCGTTACATTTATCTGTTATGCCGTGTACGAATTAGCAATCTTATCCGTGATGTAAGATAAATGAAATTGATAGATGTAGTATTTTGCTGATCCAACAGCAAGGCTCCTCCAAGTCGTGCGTCTGCGAATCGATGACGCTCCACTTCCGGGCTGGATTTATCCTAGTCATTACTATTTGCAATTGAAATCGTATACTGCGACGCGTATCCTACGTTTCCTGGAACGAACTGCGCTAGAGAGTTTTTCCCTTAATCCTTCACGCGCGTGGTATAATTTTTCTCCCGCGCTTCGAACGCTCGCTTCGTTATACTTTCATACCGTATTGGATGATCGCTTAAATCCTCTTTCGGTTTTTCATTTTTTTTTTCTTTCCCGATATCTTAGTGACTCTTATAAAAAGAATTGTTGTATTTAAACTATAATAATTGCAAATATTGCGTTTATTAGATCGAGTGTTCTCAAATTTCATTTGTGTCGACGAAACGTCAAATAAATATTTCGCGTGGTGTGCAAATTCCTCATCGATAAAAAATCGATTTCAAAATTTATGATCAGAGTTTGTGTAAAGAATATTGTGGTGAATTTTGAACGATCGTATTTTTTATTTTATATGATTTTTACGATTCTCGTGGCGTGTCGCGCGGAACAGTTTGAGAACCCTACTACTTAGATCATTTTCTTTTACTAGCTCCAACTTTATCTATGATATGCCTATGTAACATGTAATGTGCACTGGATGCACCGCGTTCGCATAAAACGAAATCGTATAAAAATACGATGTAGAAATAGTAAAATTTCGTCTTTTTTCGTGTTATAAACTATCTTAGATTTAGTCCGTAGATCAGGAGTGTGCAAAAAAATGTTCAATTTATCCAAAAATTTAAAAAATATATAATGAGGCAAAAATGCTTGACGACGAAATGTTTGTCTTCAATATTATTTTCGCATTATATTACAAAAAATATATTATAGAAATATATCAATAAAAAATAAAAGTAAAATGTTATTTATAATTTTTGCAATTTAATCCAATTAATTACTTTTTGGAAGAAATAATAATACTAATTGCGGCGTAAATATTTTTTAATTATTTGTTAATAGATAACAGAATTATAATCGCAAATATTAAGAATAATTTATTTAAATTTAATAAAATATGAATGAGCATGATGAAACAAAATTTAATGCGCCACTTGATTTATTTTGATTTAAACTGGACTCGATTCCTACTTTGACATTTAGGTTGTGCACTCCTGTCAACAGGTGGTAACCAAAGCGCACAGTAAGTTGATAGCGATTCTTAATCACGCTCGATAATAACACACGTTGTATAATTGAAAGACTTGGAGCAACGACTTGCTAAATCATTCATACATGCAAGATTTTCTTAGGTCACATTTCTTTCCAGAATTGACAATGCACAGAAATATGTTATCATGTTTACCTCAAAAATAGAGCGCTATAGATGCGATATGTTCGATATAAATGTACTTACAATAATCACACCAAGGTTTAACTCAATTATTTTTTTATTCACAAAATATTAATATATATGTTGTTATATAATCTTAAATAATATTAACTAAAAAATGGTTTAATAGTTAGAATCATATAACGTTATTATAAACGATATTTCTGTCATTTAGCATAGTGCGATTTAAAAATCCTGTTGCTCCAAATCCTTAAATAATATGCTCGATCAATGTACGCGAATTTTATTTGATAGATAAATTATCCAATATTCTAGAAATAAATGTGTCCGCGGATGAATTCGTTCCTTTAATCGCGAAATCCCACTTGGTTATCACCGACACCAGAATGAAGCGCGTGAAGTCGACCTGCGTCATTTCTGTGTATTATAAAGAAATTTATTGAGCCTCTAGTAATAACTGATCGTAAATAAAAGTTACCTACTTTAACCCAGCTATACGCATACATTATTTATTCCGATGCTCATATTTTCTTCGCATATTTAAATAATAATATGATCCATATAAATATGATCCATATAAATATGATCCATATAAATATGATCCATATAAATATGATCCATACTCTACTACATACGTATAAATATAACACTGATAAGTATATCACTAAATTTATTTAGAGATATGAGATTTCTTTCTAATAAATTACGTGACACAGCAATTTTTCAATATCAGTGTCAACAATCAAATATCTAATCGGAAATTTATTTAAAACTATTAATTGAAAATGCTTGAAGCAGCTTCAGTGAAGTATAAGAAGGTATACTGTATTAAAAATAATATATATAAAATTTATATATTAAATTTATATATTTATAATATTCACTGTATTATAAAGAACATTTTTGCAAATTTTAACAAATTTCAAAAAATATTTTATATGCGATTATTTGTATGTGCTATTTATAAATTTCATATCAATGGTATCAAATTTATCAGTCATCAAAAATTGAAGCCATTATGATATCACTTGAGTAAACTCAGACCAAATATATTAAACAATTATCGAATAAGATTACTTTATGACAAAACAAAACCAAGTTATCATTGAACAATTGACCCTAGATACTCGTGTAACATTTTGGGGAAAACAGATGATTTTTATATCGTGGTTACATAAGTGTGACACACGCTACAAACACAAACACACCTAATGGCTGCTCACAGTCGATCCTTCAGTTGTGCGTAGCACGCGTGCTGTGAAGAGGAACGCAACGCAGTTCTTATGCGCACAAGGTTTTTCGATTAAATCGTGGTAATAGAGTATATTATCGGAAACGCGATCGCGAGTCTGACCGACTGCCATACATTTTGGATTGCGAATTACGGAGCGTGTCGCGATTCATGTGATTCTGCATGACGTGTATTCACGTCACGCATCTCGCATTTCTTTCTGTTCTACGTTTCGCGAAGGATATAACGATTGTACCGCTCGACGCAACGCCTCCAAACAGTGCCGTACGCTATTTGGATTTAGTAGAGGTTCAAGCGAGGTTCTACATCGTAAGTGAATCAAGGTAAATCAAACGATTTTTCGAAAGAGAAATTTTTTCAATATATTAATTGCGATAATCACGATAATCAGGACGCATGTATCTCTTTGATTGATAAATAAATCTTTAATCTTTCATAGTATATGTGATATAAATATATAAATCGATATTAATCAAACATCTTATTTAGAAAACCAAATAAATTAACGGCTATGATTTTTTTGAACAAAGAAAGTAAACTTGATATTTGTAGCTTGATATTTCTAACCTTGAATTAAATATTGGAATTGAATTCTTTTAATGCAAATATAATATTGAAAAGAAATTTTTCAATGGAGACTTCATTTAATTTTTAATTTAAACTAATTTTTATTTAATTTAGATTTACGTTAATTAAAAATTGAAGATATAAAAGTTTAATAGTTAAAAATATATATATTTTTTTATTTCTTATCTTTATTTCATCTCTTTTAATTTATTGTTATTATTCAAAGAATTTAAAATTTTATTTCTCTGAAATAAATATACATTAATGAGATAAATGATGTGTTACATAAACAAAGTTAGTGCAATCACGCAAAATTGAATTAATAAGATAAATGATGTGTTAAATAAACAAAGTTAGTGCAATCACGCAAAATTGAATTCTTAACATGTATGTATTAAACTTAGTTTATACAAAAGACAGCTCTTATATCCGATTGCAATGACGATCGAATTACTCGACTCATTATATACTAGCTAATGAGCGCTAATTTACTATCTAGCCTTCTGATCAAAGAAGTTACAGGATTGCCACGCGAAAAGGTATAATTGGTTCAAATGGATCGAGTGAGAAGACGAACCTCGATGGGTAATTGTCGCTCCAGAAAGCTTGCCGTTTGCGTGAGCGTGACTATACTCGGGATCTTTATTGGTTGCACGCTATTAGCGTATACAGCGTTTGCTTCTTCGACTACTAAACATAATACATTACAGCAAGTGGTGTTTGTAAGTGACTTGTTTGTAACAATTGTTATCTGTCACCTCATTATTCCGCTCTCGTAATATTAATTTAATTTTATAATATTAAATTTAATAAAGTTGTTAGATACACAGATATTTAATTAACGAATATCATTAAAATATGTACCATAAATTTATAATGAAAATGTAATTTATTAAAATGTATATTAAGTGTATATTAAAATATTTATATCAATATAATATACATATATAAAATTTTAAATATGATATATATATATATATATATATATATATATATTCCATAATTAAAATGATATATATATATATATATATATATATATATATTTTAATTATGGAAAATAGCATTTGAATCAATTTTGTTTATTTTATATATTTTAATCTTGTTTATTTTATATATTTTAATTATGGAAAATAACATTTGAACCAATTTTGTTGAAAGATTTCAAATTTAGTCAAATATTCGGCGAATAATGTAATTAGCTTCCAATATCTTTAAACAAATAATTTTTTTCTAATTCACACAGAAATTGTTGATTTTTTTAACAGTTGTTTCGTCACGGTGACAGAAATCCTACAGAGACCTATCCTAAGGATCCCTACATAAATTACGCTTGGCCCAATGGCTGGGGTGCCCTGACTAAGGTTCGAGAAAGATATAGGAATATTGTTAAATCAGTGTTTCGTATAATAATAATAGATAATATATATCTGGACTCGCTATAAATTAAATCACCTCTGTGCGCACAACATGTATCGGATATAAGACGCGCAATCGAGCGCGAGTAATAAGATAGGATACATTATCAATCTTGAAATTCGCTTTCAGAGAGGAATGCTTCAGCTGTATAACGTGGGTCAATGGATTCGCCAAGAATACGGCGTTATAATCGGTAATAAATTCGAAAGCGCAACCACACTGATGCGTAGCAGCTATGCGGATCGGTGCATTATGTCGGCACAGGTATTACTCGCCGGTTTGTTCATACCGAGTCCTGAGGATATGTTTTTGCCAGGATTAGCGTGGACTCCTGTTCCTGTACATTCCATACCACGAAATTTGGACAAGGTATAAACAAAAGAATTAATTTTTTTCATATCAGCTAAAAGACTTATAAGATCTTAGACCCCGCTTCCTCTTTGAGAAGGTTTTCCACCACATTATCTTGAAAAAGTTTCTTAAAATAACTTGAAATATGATTAAAATAGCCTGTGTGTATATGTGATTAAAAAAATTCTTTTTCAATTTGGAAAATAAATATTTTTATCATATAAAAATTTAAGTAAATTGCAAGAGCTACTGGTTAAAATATGCAGATCTATAAAAAAAACTTATTTATTTATCATATTACAGCTGATAACGATAAAAGCACCATGTCCGAGACTAGAGGAAGCTTTAAAACAGGCATATTTAAACGAAGCAATAAGATCAGGCGCAAAAATGGCCGAATATTATAAAGAACTGACGGAACATACCGGTCAGAACATGAGCACGATTACCGATGTCGAATTTCTTTACAATACTCTCGAGATTGAAGAGCAACACGGTTTACAACTGCCACAATGGACGCAAAAATTTTATAATAACGAGATGCGCGAAATAGCCGCCCGTAGTTTGGCGATCTTTACCAACAGCACTATTCAAAGACGCCTTCTGGGAGGTATGATGATACCTTTGTACGATCAGTATCATTTCAGATGCGTTTTTTAAACTGCATTGCAAAAGAATATTGTATACCGTTACGGAATACCATAAAAATTCTAATATTGCTGCATAAATTTTAATATTTTCAGGTCCGTTACTAAAGGAAATTTTATCGCATATGGAAGAGACTAGAACCGATTCCAAACCGAAACGATCTTACTTTTATTCTGCTCACGATATAACTATCGTTAACGTGTTGAGAACGATGGGATTCACGAACGAACTTTTTAAACCCGATTACGGAGCAACGCTCATATTCGAGCTACATCTCGCCAATAATAGTATCGATCAGGAAGTAAAGGTATTGATATGGTTATTGGTAGTGTTATCGTAAAAATTTACAGTCATAAATATTTTTTGTAAAATCAGAAATTGTTTCGAATATTATATAAATTTTAAGATGTTTCTTAACAAAAATTTCATTATATTCCATCATTATATGGCAAATTTAATAGCTATGTATAATTACCAGAAAATTAGATCTGATTAGTATAATTAGTTGATATTTTGCAATTATAATCACTGAAATTCATTGCGGGATTTCTAATAGCTTGCACAATTCTAATAGATAGCACAATTACGTACAATAAGAATATTGCTTACATAATCACGTACGAAGAATATTGCATATGCAATACATCTATATTATCTCTCTAAATTAATCTAAGTTAATCCTGTATATATCATTTATAAAATTATTATTCTATAAATTTTTTAGATTTTATATCTCTATATTTTTACTTATAAAATAATTATACAATTATTTTATATGTTCTTTTCTTTATTATAGGCACTATATTTGAATAATACGGAAACGAAAATCGCGCATCCTTTGGAAATTCCTAATTGCGCGACTCCTTGTTTATTACAGAATCTGAAGCAAGTGTGGCATAAAGTAATCCCAAATGATTGGGACGCAGAATGTAAAATATAAAATCACTAAATATTTTCTGTATTAATTGTCATATATTTTCAATGCGAATTTTTCCAATCATCTTTTTATACGGAAATTGCAGTTAAATATACATACAATGTAATACAAGACTGAAATATATACATATATAAATTCAACAATTGTTTTTATATTTACATATTAACTTAAATATTAAAATTTAAAAAAGAAATATATATATATATATATATATATATATATATAATTATATGTATATTTCTTTTTTTCATTTTTTAATTTTAATATTTTAATATTTAATTTTAATATTTAAGTTAATATGTAAATATAAAAGCAATTATTAAATATTTTTAAATATATTTGTAAATTTTGTATCTTATAATTGTCAGTAAATTTGGACATATTAATATTTATATAATTAATTATATATGATTTATGCATTTATATCATCATTGACTAAGATTTATAATGAACATAAAGATTATTTGAATAAAAAGAGAAATACAAACAGAGAAATTATATAAGCATCTTGTGTGAATAATAATAATATAAAAAATTTTGTTTTACTTACCAACATTGATCTGCTAGTGAATATGCTAGAACAGCAGGAATTAATACTGTTGTTTTTTACCTGTATGTAGAGACGCACTGATAGAAAGAGTCCATCAAATCTGAAAAAAAAAATATATATATATAAACATGTGGACATAAATTTATGTGTAACTTGAAAATGTACGTATGCATATTTATTTAAAAAATTTTCATTTTTATGTATTTAGAATATGAAGGTACAAAGAGTTTTGCACAGAAGGCGCCTCTGATACTTTGCGGAATAGCGTTATTATCAACATCATTATCAACGAATGTGTTAGCATTTTATATAAGATCCGATAAATGATCCGATAAGAAAATATCTTTAACGCTGTCTATATTGACATTAATATAAGATAGAAATTTTTACACACGAAAAATTCCCTTCTGCAAAAAGTTTTGAAATCTAAAAAATTAGTATTTCTCAGAGAAAATTTTCATTAGATTATTTACTGCTTTAAAAAAAATAATAATATGCTTATAAAACAATTTGAAATTGTTTCACTGAGAGATCATAGTGTTTGTATTGTTTAAGTTATTTTTTACTTTATATTTTCATATAAATTTTAACTTTTTAAATTTTAATAATTTTAAGATGTTTTAGAACATGATTATATCAAAAATATTCATAACTATTATTCTATTTCTAGAGAGATTGTAAACGTATGGTCAAGTGTATAATACGCTGCATAACTCGGTATCCTAGCAAACCAGTTGTAATTCAAGCGAAGCTTGTTAAGATGAATAAATGGACACGAAATCGTTTAACCGGGATGTGCCCGGTTTGCTTATGCAACGGCTGACACTGATCATTTTGCATATCATTGTGCAATATCACATGCGATTATTGTGTGAGTTATTGTCTATTATATCCGATATTGCGTGCGCAATTAGTAATTAAACAGTGCAATGTGCTCAGTGCAATAATAGGAAATATATCTATCACAGATATTTCTATATCTGTGATCAATGTGTTTCATTTTCTGATAATTTTGGAGAAACATTTTATAATATTTTAACCAAAATATTTTTTAATTAGTAGCTTATTATTCGAGATTTAAACAATAAAAATAACAATATTTTCTGATGAATAAACAAAAATAATTTAAAGTGAAAGTGAAAATAAATATTTATTATAATTTGTTTTAATTACATTCAATGCAATAATGTTTCAGTCTGAAATACGAAGCCTTCTCTCTCTTCAAGTGAGTTAAAAGGATCTATTAATTATAATTATGATTTATTAATTTTTTTTCATATATGATATTGCCTCATTAATTTTATTTCCGCAATATATTTTGCTTTTTAAGTCAAAGCAAGTCAAGGAAATTGCTATATATGTAATATCATGTATTTAACAGAAAAGATAAGACAGAAAGCTCAGCTTGTGCTTATCTATTACCATGATTCACTATTTGATGATTTAAATTCCGCGGTTTTATCCACGCAGATTTATTGCTTTGCTCACAATTCAATCGAGCGCACTATATAAGAGAAGGCCATAGTTATCGATTGTCTTTTAACATGGTCACACATTGTTAACATTACGTTCTGTGTCGTTATGTCACTGTCATTCACAACTATTACAGAGTTACATAATTTACTGTTCGTATATAGAAGGAAATCCTGGAGTAATTTGAGATACTTTATGCTTTCTATCTATTTTTATCAGAAGAAAAAATTAATAAATCAATTTCTTCATATATCTATTAATTTAATCTATTAATTTGCTATCAATTTATATTTTTTTATCTTTAACAATTTTTAGTTACAACATGAAATGTGTTCTAACAATTGTTATAATTAAGAAAGTGAGCTATCTATTTATTAATTAATACAATACATGCAGATGGAAATTTTGAGAAAAAAGAAGGAGCGGAGGAGCATTATTTATTTTTTATACCCTTTTAAAATATATTTTTTTGATTAAGAGAATGTGCATATATATACATACATACATATATATATATATATATATATATATATATATGTACATTATAATAGTATACAATATTTGTAGTAGTATTGCTATAAATGTATTCGATACTCATATAAGTATATATAAAAAGAATAAATATATCCACATAATCGAATGTGAAATTCTTCACTTAATTCTTCACTTTTATTTAACAGATTTTAATGCAGTTTTCTACTTCCGGCTATTCTTCTAACCCTTCTAACCTTGATTCTTCATTCGAAGAAAAATTCATCCTACCTTGATATATCTCTGCATATTTTGCCGTCCTTCGGTTTACACACAATAACGACATAAAATTTTTCGGAAACAAATTAAATACACGTTTTCTTTTTAGATTCAATCTATCGTCGATGCACATCGCGCGATTTGTACATCATTCGCGTCCGCAAACTTTAGTTAGGTTTGAAAAATAATTTACGTAATGAAGCGGGGCAATTTCGCGCCTAATCTAAAAGTAGTCATCTTCAGACGTCAGGGCATACAAATGTCGAGTGCGTGAAAATTTTCATGAAATTTTTAATTCAACTTTTAACTGAATATATATTTCGCACAAAAATTGCAATCGTAAATTTTAAAAATAATTTTTAAAAGTAAAAAAACCTTTTGGCTTATGTAATCGCGCGTTGTCTTATCGGAATTCTACGAGTACAAATCATGTCCGATATGCGTGCAATAAAAAAAAATTAGATAACAAATAATATATTGATATTATATATATAAGTACATAGTATTATCTCGTTTTTAGCTTACTTCTTTTCCGTAACTTTTCTGTTTGCTATCTTTTATTTCGAACGAAGCGACGAGGCGTTTCTCGATCAAGTATACGCGTTCAATGTGAAGTAAAGTTATCACGCGCGATCTTATTAATCGACCTGAATTCGCGCACGCGACTCTTGTGTTCGACGGCCAATCAGAATCGAGAAAAGGCAATTATGTGATTACGCAAAGTATATCGAACTCTGTATTTTTTCTTAAGGTTGTGTTCCAAAATTTACTGCCAATACTAAAAATCTAAGTGTACGTCACGTAAACTATAGATTTTCAGTATCGGCAGTGAATTTTGGAACGCAGCCTAAGATTGAATAATAAATTTTTAAAAATTAAAAAATCAAAAATTGAAATATTTTCTAGTTTCTTTCTACATTTTTGTGGCCGGTATATTTACAGTCCGTTCGTATATTTATATCGTCTTAAGCACAATTTTACAATGTTATAAACCAATCACCGCATAGAGAGCTGTATTAGCATCTTAAGACATTACTTATGGTCTTGAATTATGAACAGACTGTGAATATATAATTTTGTTTTTACTTACTTTTATGACCTACTCAATGATCTCTACTCTGATCTCTACGCTTTAGTTATTTTATATTCAATAAATTTAATTTATTTGAATTATTATAAGATTAATTTATTTTTATTATGTATAATTTATATAATTATGATTAACTATGATTTACAAATGCACATTTCATGTATATAAATAATATAAATCCAGTTCCTCCATACTGTCTTGTTCATTCATTCGCGCCTTGACAATTGTCAGTTGTCAGTCGCGCTGTCAGTCAGTCGCAAGGAAAGAAAGAGAGCGTAAAGAGTACTAAAGAGAGAAGGAGATAGAGACAGCGAAGGAGAGGGGGAAAGAGAGAGAGAGAGAAAGAACGCATCGCTCCGCGTCTGTACGAGGTGCACGAGGAAGGAGTGCCTCAGAGATCTAATATATCGGTTCCATTTATCAGTGCGGCACCGCCTCGCGATCGTTCGCTCGCTTTTTCAGTTCGTTCTCGTGAACTGTTCACGTTTAACATAACGCAACGCACGCAGTGCAACGTGTCTATCCATCGGTTTGCGTCATCATTGACGATTGTGACAACCGCTCCTTTGCCACCACTACTACCATCACCACCACGTCCTCCGGAAGTCCGCGTTGTACGCGATCTTCCGCGGTCGATGTGCATACGTCACGTCGGCGGCGGATCATCTTGTCGTCTTGATTGCGCGCTGTACTTTCCCACTAGTATTAGTCCGCATCTGTCTTGTATATCGCGCTCCAGCAAGCGCGCCCGTTCAACCTTGACTGGCGGATCTGAACAAAGGTTGGTGCTCGCCCGGCCTCCCACAGTCCTGTCCGTGAGCTCATCTTCACAGTTTTTGCCTTTTCGCACTTCGCTGTTCATTGCACGCGTTAAATATTTTGTTTCCGAGGTTTTAGAGCGAGTCTTGAAAGTGAGTATTGAAAGATATAATAAATGGAAGGAAGGACTAGGTCGAAAAAGAGGATTGTACCTTGTGTATGGTGGAGAGATTAGATTTTTTAGAGATGATGCTCATCACGATACTTATCATCCGTCTTTAAAGAATACTTAAAGCACAAACAAAATCAAAGTGTAATATTTTGATTTATAATTAACGTGATTTCTAACCTTTCTAAACCAAACTATTCCAGTTTAGCTGACTTTGAATTATCTATAGCACTAATTTTGTCTATAGTATTTTAAATAAAGAAAATATGTTTTATACAGGGTTGGGGAGAGTTAATATTAGAGAGCAATGAATAATTGATAATATAATATGAAACTGTATTAATACAATATTATTAAGCAAAAAAATATTTGACTTGTTACAGATCGCCAATATGTTTAGTTGGTTAAATCGCGAAGAGAATAGCAAGCAAGATCTTTTCGAAAATGTCACCGAAGGTCTCAAGAAGATATACAAATCCAAGTTATTACCATTGGAACAATATTACCAATTCCATGACTTTCATTCACCACAGCTGGATGATCCAGATTTTGATGCAAAACCCATGATTCTCTTAGTCGGACAATATTCAACTGGCAAAACTACATTTATCAAATATTTATTGGAAAGAGAGTTTCCTGGTATTAGGATTGGACCAGAGCCTACTACAGATCGATTTATAGCAGTCATGTATGATGAGAAGGAGGGTGTTATTCCTGGAAATGCTTTAGTTGTAGATCCTAACAAACAATTTAGACCACTTTCAAAATTTGGCAATGCATTTTTGAATAGATTTCAATGTTCAACTGTAGGTTCGCCTGTTTTAAAAGGCATATCTATAGTAGACACACCTGGTATATTGTCTGGTGAAAAACAACGAGTAAGTGTTGCTCTTATGTAATTTATTCTTTGATAATTTATTTATAATAAATAATTTATTTATAATAAAAGATGTATAATATTTGATAAATCTAAATACTGTATATCTAAATACAAAATATTCTTTTAGGTTGATAGGGGATACGACTTTACTGGTGTTCTAGAGTGGTTTGCTGAACGTGTAGATAGAATTATATTGCTATTTGATGCTCATAAACTCGATATATCAGATGAATTTCGTAGATCTATCGAGGCCTTACGTGGACATGATGATAAAATTAGAATTGTTCTTAATAAAGCTGATATGATAGACCATCAACAACTCATGAGGGTATATGGTGCATTAATGTGGTCTTTAGGAAAAGTTCTGCAAACTCCAGAAGTGGCTAGAGTTTATATAGGCTCATTTTGGGATCAACCATTAAGATATGATGTTAATAGAAGGTAAATGCTCTTGTATATCTTTTCTTTTTTTGGTAATTTATATGTTATACCTGTAAGTCATACATATGAATCTTTTTAGATTATTTGAAGATGAAGAACAAGATTTGTTCAGAGACATGCAATCACTTCCAAGAAATGCAGCATTACGAAAGCTTAATGACTTAATAAAACGAGCACGCTTAGCTAAGGTATGTAAGATAAAGAATTTAGATAAAAAAATTTATCAATATATATCTTAAAGAATTTAGATAAGAAAATGTATATATCTTGAACTGAGTATAGTAAGAAACAAATCTGTAATTCTTATTAATAATTTACAGGTGCATGCATATATAATAAGCGCCTTACGAAAAGATATGCCAAGCGTGTTTGGCAAAGATAACAAGAAGAAAGAGTTAATAAAAAATTTGGGTCAAATTTATGATCAAATACAAAGAGAACAACAAATTTCACCTGGTGATTTTCCAGATCTAAAAAAAATGCAAGAATCTTTAGCACATCATGATTTTAATAAATTTAATCCTATTAAACTTAAGCTATTAGAAGTGGTAGATAAAATGCTTGCTGAAGATATTGCAAAACTTATGGCTATGATACCACACGAAGAAGTCACCACAGTTTCAGAACCACTTATTAAAGGTTTATCTTTATTAATGCATATATTTAGATTTTTTATCTTGAATAAAATTTATTTTAAAAAATTTTTAACGTTAAGAAAAGAAGATAGAATAATAATCTCACAAAATTTTTACTAAAAAAATAAATATAAATATTATTAAAGAGTTAATATAATAAAAATAGTGATTACATATTTTGACTTTCTGAAAAACGTTTGTATTTATTTAATTTTAGGAGGTGCATTTGAAGGTGTAGAAGATCAAGTTAGTCCATTTGGATACAAAAGAGGAGAAGGAATTGATGCAGGAGCAGGTGAACCAGAATGGATTGTCAATAAAGAAAGATATAAATATGATAGCATCTTTGAATCACTTGGGCCACAAGATGGAAAGATTACGGGAGCAGGTAAAACTAATATATAAATATTTGCAAACATATATTTACTGTTATTAAAATAATATGTCTTAATTTGTGTAATTTTTGTATTACTGTAGCGGCTAAATCAGAAATGGTCAAGTCTAAATTACCAAATAGTGTGCTCGGAAAGATCTGGAAACTCTCAGACATTAATAAAGATGGATTCTTAGATGCTGACGAATTTGCCTTAGCTATGCATCTAATTAATGTAAAACTCGAAGGTTATGATCTCCCAGCTGAACTGCCAGAACATCTAATACCACCATCGAAACGCGATACATAATGATATGCGTTATATGATTCCTGGTACTATAATTTAATAAGTTTTACAAATGGTATGTGCGAGTGTGGTTTCTTGGAGTCACAAGATTACCACAGATATTAGGGCGACTTATCATTTGTGCACTGATTGATGCCATTGGTTCATAAAGTTCGGGAAATATAAAATTATACTTTTATGATCAGCTGTATCATATTATGTGTATATTATATTATTCTGATAATATATCAAGGCCGGGGGACATATATAGCTTGCAATTTCTAGAAAAATGTGCTAAATTGTACAAGATTGACTAGCACAAAACGTATATGGCATCTTTCAAATAATATTTTTCTGAAACATGTATAAATGGAGATAAAAATTATACACATAGTATGCCCACATGCTTATTGGCATATTAGTATCTAAACAATTTAGAATATTTGCTTTTATTTAAGATAAGTTGTTACTTTGGCCTTGGAATTATATTTGTATTTTATAACTTCGTAATTATACATGTCCTGAATTGAAGAACGTTACTCGATCAATGAATAAGAGACTGTATTTGGATATACTAAAGCAAATAACTTTTTTCTTTTTTTTAAATAATATACAGGATATTTTTAACAGATCTGATCTAGCTTGAGAAACATTTTGTATATAAAATAAGCTTAATATGTCTGAAAGTATTTCATGTGGATTTCATATCTATATACACATATAAACGAATATTTATTTTATACTTAGAATTAACAAAAAATGTTTCTAAAATTGGGTCAAATCTTTTGAAATATCTTGTACAAAAATAAAAAGAAAATAGACAGTGGACATTTATAAGAAGATAAAAGACTGGATTAAAAATGTAGGTTTTGCATATTTTAAGAAAACGAATAAATTTTTGAACTCTGACGAAAAATATTCTCAACAATGAAAAAAGTTTCTTATACTATATATCAATAAAAAAATCACAAGAATGAATTTTGAATTTTTTAAATTATAAATAAGAAGCGAAAGCGATAAAATTCTTAACCAAGCTGACCAAAAAACATTTAAAATTTTCAAAATTATAACGAAGAAATACACAATCTTATTCAGTACATTATTTATCAATAATAAATAATGCACAAAATAAATTATTTTAAGTTATAATTTTTGAATTTATTTAATTTATATTGCAGCCTATGTCTATTATGTCTGTTATGCTATTTTATCAGACTTGTTTAGATTATTAAGTTTGTCTTTTCTGCAATATTGACCAAAGAATACAATGTTAGAAATAAAAGTATATGTATGCAATATAAAAAAATTTTTAAACAAAATTTATATATTATTATTGGCAAAATGCTATTTATAAAAATTTCAAATACAGTTGAAATATTTTATTTTTTTTTCTATTTTATTTATGAAATAAAACAAGAAAATTATGTATATTTGTTATTCTTTAATTATATCCGCACTGTAAAAACGGCTGTAACACTACTTTGTTTAATTCTTAATTACATTTTTCTATTAGCACTGCCTTTGCATTTCGCGAATTTATGTGATATCAGAAAATACATTTATATTATAAAAACTGTTTACACTATTTGAACAAATATCCACCTCAAATTTACATTAAAAAATATAAAATGAAGAATAGCCAAAAAACAAGGCTATTTTGGGATAAATAATAATAATAATAAAGTGTAACTAAAAAATTTACTTAAAATTTATAACAATTTAAAAGAATGCGTATCTATTCTATGTTATATCTAGAATGTTGCTGCAAAATTTTTAATCCATTTTTGCATTAATATAAATACATTCGTTTAACCCATGTTTCTGTATTTTTATCACTAATAACATATGATAAAAACTTTCTATAGCAAATATCTTTTTAGTACAATTATTAAGAAAAAGAGAACATGAAAAAGCACAGCACATATATTTAGATACCATTTAATATACAAAATATATATATATATATATATATATATATATATATATGTATATATATATTTCACAGTTCTTTATATATTTATAAGTCAAAATTATAAATAGTTTTTAAATATCTACATGTGTATAAAATATAAAATATTTTATATATATTTTATAGAAAATATTTGGATACATATAATGCATTAATTTTAATTTTTATAAACAGCAATAACACGCACGGACTCATGTTACAATACAGCGTTTTTTATAGAATTAATATTCATCTTTCTGTATATTTAATTATATATATGTAATAACTATATACTCGTGGATACTATTTTTAGAGGCAGCGCGTCAAAGATTTTATTGAATTAAATGTTAATGCATTTACAAAAAGCCACAGAAATTTATTTTTTATTAAGATAAGAAAAAATAGAAATATTAAAAAAGAAAATTTCATTATACTTTATATTAATAAATGAAATGTATATGATATCTGTATCTTTTTGTTATACAGAACCGAAACAAATGAAATTGGGAAAAATTTTATTAGTGTCTTTTAATCTGCTTTGTAAATAAGATCCAAGATTTATAAATCATAATTTGTTTATTAAAAAATATTTTTATAAGTTTCAGTATGTATAAGGAAACAATGTATATTTATTAACTATTATACATATTATTCGTATGTGTTTAAGGAAAGTTGCAAAATAAGTATGTGTGTCTTAAAATTGTTTTACATATAAAAATATGTAAAAGTATCACAATGAAAGATATATATTTGATCTAATTTATACCTCATTCCTTCTAAAAGAATGGAATACGAATTTTTACGGCACATACAATTGCGGCAGTGGATCATTGTATACATTCTTTATCTATTATAACTCGTCATGTTTTATACGAAAATTAATAATCTTCAAAATTTCATCCCTGATTTCCTCAGCTGTCGTTGCAACAATACTGATATTATCCATATCATGTCTATTTTTCTTCTTCTGCTTCGGTTTATATAATATTAACGTCGGAAATACTTTTATATGTGCACATTCATTCATGTAGAAGTTACAATTAATTCTTCCAAATTTTACTTTTTCTAACAACTAGAATTAAAATGGATTATATAGTTTTCATCGAATAAATTGTCGAAAGCTAAATTGTAATTGTATTTATAATAGAATGTTATTTACCTGAGCAGCAATTGCAAATTCGGGTTCCATTTTTTGACAGTGCCAACATTGTGGCAAATAAAAATCGACGATCCATATATACTTACTAAACTCCAACATTCTTTGGAAATCAGAGGGATTTAAATCGTGGATTTTCTTTGGAAGGAATTTTGTTATCCATGTTAATATGGATAACGAATCTCGTTGTCCATTATATAAACTATAATATATAAAATATAACATCTATAATTTTATATATTAAAAAATTTATTATTTTTACGTAATTTACATGAATATATACATGATTGAATTGTGAATTATAATTACTTACGCGATTGTATTTAAACCTTCACTTCCTAATGGATACATTCTAATGGTAGGATAAGAGCGTATTCCTTGCGACGCGCACAAAGAAGCTTCAGCCTCGCAATCTACACTGGCTACATTTACAAACGACAAACTGCTCAATGATTTTGCAACAGCAATCCATTCAGATGCTAATCTCTGACATGGTGCACACCATGATGCGAAATAATCAACAATCCACATAATTTTACTTTTCTTTTTTGCCAGTTTACGATTAAAATTTTCCGATGTTAATTCTATAACTAAATTAAACAACATAAAACATACAATAGAGATATGAGAAGAAATGAGAAACATATAATGTTTATATATATATTATCTCTTACCTGATGGGTTTCTTTTTTCATTAATGAATTGGATAATATTTGCAGCTGTTTTTTGTAGTGTAAATTGATATGTTTTGCTGCCATTTAGGAGCATTGCAGTAGGATATTGCTGTATATTGTGATGATGACATATCATAGTATGAACAGTGCAATCAATAGTACCAAAACGGACAATAGATGCATCAAATTTTAATGATGCTCTGCGAAGTTCCGACAAAAACCGTATACAAGGTGGACACCTTGGTGAATACCAATCTAAGAACCACACTTCATTTTCTGTAACATTTTACACTTACACTTAGTATTGCAAAATCGTTTGTCACAATTAGTATCATCAAAATGAGCCATGTGTTTAGATACCCTTGTTTTGTAATATTGATAATGCTTCCTCTGCAGAGAGCGCCCAAAGATTTGTAGTTTTTATACTAATCTGTACAAATTTGATGATATCATTGTTAGTAGCTTTTCCATGATTCAATTCAAATGCTCCACCTGGTTTAAGCATACCCCAAACTGGATAACGATTGATGCCTAATTTATTACAAAATTGTCCATTTTTACCACAATGTATTATACCTATAAACATATATTGCATAAATATGTAAAAATATTCTATAATAGATCTCCATCTATAAATTCATAAATGCAAATTTTTACCTAAATTAATACCACTAATTGAAAATTTTTTCATTTGCAGATTTAAATCTTTCAGATTTTCCGAGTCGCCAATATAAAAACATATAAGCCAAGCAGCATTAAACTCTGTTCTCTTAATAATCTACAAATTATATTAGATATAATTATATTAGATGTATTAGATATATCTAATACACAAAATTTGAAAGAACAAATCGTATATCTATTATAGAAAGATTAACAAAATAATACTTTACTTACATCAAAATCATTGTCCGTCAGCTCTTGTGGATTTGGCAATTGTTCCCAGAGTTTTTCTATTAATGTATTTATATCAGATGTACTATTAAAGAACACTGGTTTGTAAGATGTGCTATACATTGGCAGATAGATCGCGCGTACCTTCTCACGATACATGTCATAATGATCCTCGCATATATATAATCTTACATCAATCAGCTTATCCTGAAAAAATCCCATATTGTTTATATTTAGAATATTAATCTAGAATAAATACAAAATCTTTTGGTAAAAATATTTTACCAAAAGATTATATTTTATAAAAATATATTTTAGAAAATAATGTTTATATGAATAATATAATATTTACAAATGTAGCTGCTACTATAAGCCTTTCATCAGAAGTGAAACAGTTTTGCTGATCATCACATATAAAAATTAGCACAGGTCTTTGTGTAATGATTTCGTGGTTTAAAAATAATTCCCATTGCATTTTATTTATTTCAGATATGTGGATATTTAGTCTATCTAATGCAAATCGCATAATGGCTTCTTGTGATTTTTCCTCTGTATAGTGCTCTCCATGCTGTGAACGCTTTGAGACAAAGATGAGTTAGTATTTTATTTTACTAACAAATATGATCCATATATATGGTGGAGGAAAAAATATCTAAAATTATGTAGAATCTATTTCCTAAGAAAAAATAATATGTAAATTAAGCATTCCCTCTTTCTTATTATCTCTGTATACATATATACCTTTCCATAACAAATCAATGTAGGATAAGCACGAACTCCTTCTCGATGGCATAGTTGCCTGTTATATTCACAATTCACTGCTGCAATTTTCATAATGCCATTGAGTAACTTAGCAATTTCCTTCCAAGTTGGTGCTAAGTAATGACAATGACTGCACATCGGAGAATAGAAATTCACAAACCAGCTTGAATCCGAATTCATAATATTTTCAACTATAAAAAAAAGGTATATATAAAATATTAAAAATAGATAAATATTAAAAAAAGGTATATATATAAAATATTCAGTTTGCTTTATAACTAACTAATTCTTAATATTAATTGTTTTATTTATTTATATATATATTAATCTTAATAAATATAAATTTAATAATTAATAATTTTTAATACAGAATAAATGTAATATTTACAAATGTAGCTGTTACTATAAATCTGATATACTCACAATAATCACTTTCCTCCAAATTAATAACATATTGATCATCTTCATACATAAAACTATTTTCATAATAATAAGGAGATGTCCATGAATGATAGGTTTGCTTCTTATTAGAATTATTAAGGCCATCTTCTCCATAAAGATCATATTTTTTTCTTAAATTATTATCCTTCAATACCTCATAAGCTGTTGTTAATCGAACAAACTTATCATGAGCATTTGGATCATCCTAAATTATTACAGTATTGTTAGTAGTATTTTAAACAATGATAGTTTATTGTATTATTTATATAATAATAATTAACACACATTATTTTTATCAGGATGATAAATGATAGCTAACTTCTTAAAAGCCTTTCGGATTTCATCCTGATCAGCTGATCTGTTTATACCAAGAATCTCATAATAATCTTCTCCTCGTATTAAAGTAATAATAATAAAGAAAGTAAGGATAACTTGATACCTGTAGTAGAGAGATTTTTTAAATTATAAATGTTTATTTGTAATAATATTTGATTAAATAAATAAATATATATATATATATATATATATATATCTCATGATACAAAACTAAATTCTATTTCAAAAAATTGTTTTGTAATTAAATAATATTCAATTCAAAACAATGGAATTTTATGTAAAAATTATAGTAATTAATTAGAAAATCAATCTTTTTTTAGAAAATTGGATATAATATAAACAATGCACTTACATTTCTATAAAAAATTTTAAAATTAAACTGAAAATGTGATTTAATACTTTGCTATCAGATCGAGGCTGCAGTCAAGGGGACACTGAAGATGCTTTAAAGCATTTGATTAATCAGAGTAAAAGGAGTAAAGATTTCTTTAACCTGACGGTTCCTCAGCATCTCTTTGACCGAAATAGTCAATTATACTTCATAGTATATCACGTATCCTTATAACCACCCACGCTTTAGCTTTGTGACGTTATTACACGTACATTTTACCGTATTTGGATCAAATGACAATCCTAACTCGTCCAATTTTCAGTTGCAGAAAAAAGAGAAAATATTTATAAATCTCTCTTTATAAATCTCTATATAAATATAATCATAATACACTGTTAATATTTCATAAATATGATAACATTAATTCAAACTTTTTTATAAATATACTTGTTTTGCACTGTATGTTCTGTGCTTTTTAAAATTATTTAAATTATATTCTACATATTTTCCATGTTTATTTAAATTTAACTATTTTATTTATGTGACAATTTATTTTACATAATTATTATATTACAAATAATATAGCATATTTTACATGCAGGTAGATTTGTTTATACATCAAGGGTGCATTCACATCTTTGCAATAAAGTAAAAAGCCAATCAAAACTTGCGCTAGTACAAATTGTGTATAAGCAGTACATAGAAGGGCAAAAAATAGAAATTGTAACTACTAGCGCGAATTCTGATTGGCTTCTGCCAAGGTGTGAATATATTCTTATGGAATTTAACGTTATTGGACAAAAAAATGCGTGCCACTGTAGGCAACAAAATCTTTGCGCATGATTGATAATAAAATATCCATACAGTATCGATTTGATGCCACCAAGTCACCTAAAGTATTAAAACTGGATATATTTTTACATTTTAAATAAATTACTGTTGGAATTATAATACAGGCTATTATAAATTAATATTTAAAAGAAGTATTTGAAAATGTTACACTTTCGCGCGAAATATCACGTGACATCAGTGGACTTGTTGGCTCTTTGGGTACGTTTTCAATAGCACAAAAAAGTGAAATATATACATTTTTCTTTTAAATATATACGAATAATTGATTTTTAATTATAATTTTAATAATTTGTGAGATATAGATAGATATAGATATATAACTATTTAGATCATCTTTTTTTTAGTTTTTTCCAACTTTTTATTATGAGAATTATTATTTGATTTATTCAAATTCTCTTTAGATGTGATAAGCATTGCAGAGGTTGCTAAAGAGAATTTAATCAATCAAGTTAAAGAAATCTTTACTCCTTTTATCTTCGGTCAATCAAACGCTCCAAAGCATCTTAGCGTTTTCTTGATCGCAGCCATTTTTTTGGATTTTAAGTAGCCTTGGGACAGTTATTGAATGTGTTTTTACAAAACCTAAAGAAATGGGCGATTTCTTAGATGTTTTCTTAAGTCTATGAGGAATAAGCTTAGGTATGACAGTAATCTAGATTTTTTACATCTACGGCAACAGTTTTTCGTTGAAATTTTTTATTAAGCATTTTATTTAAATCTAAATTTTATGAAGCATTTGATTAAAAAAGATCGTCTCTGATATATTTTCTCATAAATACTTTGTTATGTTTATATCCTTATATTTTGTTATATGAGCGTTCCAAATGAGAACTACAGTTGAATTTTTTAGGGAAAGGCTGTATATCAAAATAAAGTATTACGATCATTAGCCAATCAATGAGGTCAAATATAATTATTTCAAGCTAGTATTAAAATTAATCTACATTTCAGCAGCATTGTCGTCCTTAAATAAGCCAATTTTTATATCGCGTTTTTTAATCGCTTGCATAATTATATATATTCAGCGCGAAATACGTTGTTATTTGAAATTTCAGGTATGTAACGACGACCAATCAAACGAGCGCATTAGGAACGCGCACATGAGGAACCTTGCTATTGGTCGTTGACAAAATAGGCGCGCAAGCATGGCCAAGCTGCTTCATGCCAAGCTTCGAGTCCTTTCGAGTTAAATTAGTGCTAAATAATATCATTTGTAAGAACATAATCAATTATATTTTAATTATTTAAAGTACATTCGTGCATGAATAGATTCTGTTGCAAGAAACGTCGAGATCAGAAGGTTAAATGTCACCGAGGCGAACTCGTGCGGGTGCAGGTGAGACAAAAATATGTATATTTTGATCTTCAGGATCTAGAAGATACAAGGTTATAATTTTTCTCATATTTACAATTGTCAATTATGTCTGCGTATATTTTATCATCACGTGGATTTTGAAAACTTAAGATTTTAACATTCTTCGTTATGATTTGTTAACGAAATAATTCTAATGACTAATCAATTTTAAAGCTTCATATTTTCTTGTCAATTTTCGATGTCGCAAAAAGGATTTTAAGATAGCTCCTTATTTTACAGCGAAACAATCTGCCGTTTCCACCAGATCTAAAAGGCAGAAAATAAATAATGAAAATGAAGATGCAGTAGAGTTGATACAGCAAACTAGGCAATCGCAAAGAAGAGAAAAGTCTTTCGATGTCAAGAATGATTTTAAAGCCGAACAAAGTATCAAAAAAGAATTGCCTGATGCAATGATAATGTTGAGAAGATCTGCGAGAAAGAAAGATTCTCATCAGAAATTTAATTTAGTCCAAGCTGAAGCTGAGGATAAATTTACAGTGCAAAATCTAAATATGGATACCAATGAATCAATCAAATTATTAAGAGATAGGCATAATAAAATATCTATGACAGAACATATCAAGCACAACCTTTCTCAGTCAAATACTTCACAAGATTTGGATTCAAATAAAACGCTTAATAAAAAATTTCAACGGAAAACTGTTGCCATAGATGTCAAAACTTCACCTATTATTGTTACACCAAAAAGCACACCGCCTAAGCTTAGTCTTACTCCTCATAGATCTAAGAAAACACCCAAAAAATCACCAATTTCTTTAGGCTCTCCAAAAACACATTCAATAACTGTTTCAAAGCTACTTAAAAGTCCAAGAAAATTATCTCTACTTGCCACATCTGAAGAGAATTTAAATAAATCAGATAATAAGTCTCCCAATAAGAGATTGGAAAAAACTAAAAAAAATGACTTAAACAATTCTTCTATGTCCAATAAATTATTAACATCACCAGTAACAAAAAGTAAACACAAGAAGTCTGATAATTTAAAGACATTTGTACGAAAATTCTCAAAATCTCCAAAAATAATGTTAAAATCTCCAAAATCACAAAAATCAAAATTACGTAAGTTGAAGTTATTATCTCCAGCTCAAAAAGTTAATAAAAAAGATTCATTAAAAACATCTAATACTATTACTTCTGATACATCAGATCTTAATACTACAAAATCAAAAGTTGACACAAAAAGATCTCCTTTATCTAAAGAAAAGAATTTATCAGGAATTAAACGTCAATTAATAAAAGCACTGACAGTTTCACAGAAGGAAGATGTGTTAACAGATCCAATAGTATTATTAGAAAGATTATCACCTGAAAGAATACAGAATATGTTAGCGGTTGCAAATAAAAGTCAATCAGATACTTCAGTTACAACAAAATCTCCTTTAATCAATAGAGGGACCAAATTTAAAGTATTGAGAACTTCTGCTGGATCAAATATATCTGTTAATCAAAATTCCAATGCTAAATTAAGGAATAATAATATAGAAGAGAAACTCACTAATAGAGTGTCACCAAGAATTAAACATAGTACACCAATGCAGAGAAAAGATAGGTCTACACCTTTATTGTCATCAACTCCACGAGAGGAGAATATACCATCAATAGATATCAATTTGGTACCCAATACATCTGTTATAAGTACAGATAATATACCTATTAATACTAGATCAAGACATCAATCTGAAAATCAATCCAATATGTCTAATACAATAATGGATAAGAGTACAACCATTGAAAATATATCTAAACCTTCTCTATTTGATGATATTAGTGATGTTGGTCAATCTCATACTTCAAATGTCAAACAAGATGCTACTTATGATAAGGATTATTTGATAACGCCAGTAAAGGAACTAGACAACAAAAAACGTAATACCTATGAATTAGAACAACCGCAAACATTAAGTTTACGACGAATGATCAGAAAACGTACTTCAAAAGATGCAAATTTAAGCTTCAAAGAAAATTTTAAGAAAGCTAAAGTACATTTTGTAGATGGAAAATTTGACACAAATAATGCACACAAATTAATTAATAAATCCACTGAATCAAATAGATCACATAATATTAATATGCAAAGCAATAATATTATAAATTCTGTGCAGAGATCGAGAAAAATTGAAATTTCAAAACTTAGCCGAAATTCATTAGCTTCTCCTTTCAAGACGAGATCAAGTCCAAAAATAAATATAGTTACACCAAGAGTTCAATTAAATAGAATTCAAGTTACACCACAAAATTGTACATTAATAGAAAAGAAATCAGGTAAAATAAAATAAAAAATTACTTGTATATTATATTTATTTTGATTTTAATAATATATAAGTTTATCTATAGCGAAAAAATCGTCGACAAAAAAAGTACCAAATTTTGGAAAAATACATGAACAAATGTTTGCTAAGTCAGAATCGCTCGTGGATGCAAAGAAACGTTTGGAAGCCAGACACTTAGCATTCAGTAATTAAATATATTTATTATTCATATGTCGACAAAATTGTTACATATTTTTTTTCACTTTGCATAAACTTGTTTGCAGCTGCAAAGAAAGTTTTTCCAAAAATAAATGCAAAGAAAGAAGAAAAGAGACCATTGCCAACCGACACAAAAGATGGCACTCATAATAGATTTGGTTTTAAATTAAGAAAAAACGAAGCAACACATGTCATATTGAAAAAGCAACCTACTTTTTCAAGGTACGTTAAATTTATTTAAAAAAAAAAGATTACATAATTATATATGCACAATGTATTTGCAAAACATGTATGTATAACAATTTACTCTTTATAATTAAATACTAAAATTGTAAAAGAAGCTTTAATATTATTACAAATATTAAATCATATATTTGTGCAAAAAATTTGAAAATTTAATATAAAATTTTATGTAATATAAATATTTGCAGGGAAAAGCAGCAACTTGAAACGCGAATGACACTGAAGGGTATACGAACAAATCGACGTTTTGAATTGCAAATGAAAGCTCGCAACTTAAATCTATAAAAATATATGTTTTATGTGATATATAAATATATATAAATTGAAACTTTGGATAATATGTTATTGCACAAGTTTTACTTTCTTGAGATATGAAAACATTTTTGCTAATATGTATTAACTTTGGAAACTTCAAGAGATTTACAAGGTATACTTTGCATTTTTTTATTTCACATTCATTTATATATAAATATCAAGAAATATGTATATCATATGCTGTCCTTTAATTTTTATTCTTATGGAGAAACTACAATCTTGTTTTTGTTATATAAATAGAATTGAAAAATTATTATGTCAATTCGCAAATTAAAAAAAATTTAGATTATTAGTATTCTTAGTTTATAAGGACAACAAATGATTGTTTATTAAATAAAATAATTTCTATAATGTAATTTATAAGATAAATATTATATATTTATAAGATAATATTCTATAATGATGTTTCCCAAGATAAAATTATTGATCACTTTATTGTGATTTCAATAAATCAGTTCAAAACTGATTTATTGATTTTATAATCTAAAATTTAAAATTTTATTTATCTTTCTATAATTAAAACACCAATAATATCATTGTCGAATAAACTTATATCATGATACTATATACTATTGTATACTAATTCATTAATTTCTTTTACTAATTTCTTAAATCTTGTATAAATTTGCTAACAAAGATCTTGCAATTTTTTGGAATATGTAACTCCTTTGGAAATTATTTAAGAAAATTTTGTTTATTATATGTATATCGGACAATCATTATATTTATCAATATTATCGATAATTCACAGTTTTTTTCATTAAATTCTTGAATATTTTCTACTAAAAGATGTATCTGAAAAGGAAAATTATTTCAACACAAATTAAAGAGCTAATTCCTTTTTTTACTCTCTGATAACAAAAAATGGAATAATTATTAGAAAGAAATCAATCTTTACTTCATAACAAAGAAATTAATTAATAAATATCGATAAATAGTGATACAAAAGAGTGGAATCTATTACTATTTATATCTATTATTAAGACTTACTATTCTACTATTAAGACTTAAATTATAATGTATTTAATATAAAAAAATTATTTTATTTTATAAGCAAAGTTTCTTTTGAGATAGTTTCTACTTTTATGAGAGCAAGAGAATTGAGAAAATTGTTATATATATACATATACATATATTGAATTTATATATTTTATATATATGTTATATATGATTTAAATATATATTAACAAGTATTAGGCAAGAAAAAAATTATGTATACAATATCTCAATAGATAAATAGTCATAGAAGTAACAATGGAAGAATAAGGAGATAACTCGATATGTATAATCAAGGATAAATATCATTCGTATCTTTTTCCTCTCTATTTTCCACCAGCGATCAACGCCTCTTACGATTTTATCGGGAACGATGTGAACGCAGTCTGAGAAACCGTGATACACATGCGTGCGTAATACATACGTCTGTTGAAATGCCTGGCAGGACACAAGTCAAGGTGGCCACAATACGAGGGAAAAATCGCAGTGATCAAATGGCTGTCGTCGCTTTTTGTGACAGATGTTTTGTGTGATTAATCCGCTTTGTTAATTCACGATAGTAGAGTATAAAATGTTACTCCGAGTGCACTCAAAATTGGGAGATGAAAAAACCTACAAAAAAAACTCATAAAAGGACTAGAAAAAATGAGTTTTTATTCAATTTTCAAAACTTTTTTAAGCGAATTTCAAATCTCCCACAACACGCGGATTGATCACAAAACATATCTCATAAAAAGCGATGACAGCCATTTGATCACCGCGATTTTTCTCTCGTGTTGTGGCCACCTTGACTTTGTGTTGTCAGCGCATTTCAACAGACGTATGCATGTGTATGTTATAATGCACGCATGTGCACACGTGTATCACGGTTCTCAGACCGCGTTCACATCGTTCATTCCCGATGAAATCGTAAGAGGCGTTGATCGCCGGTGGAAAATAGAGAGGAAAAAGATACCAATGATATTCGTCCTTGATTATACATATCGAGTTATCTCCTATTCTTCCATTGTTACAGGCGTGTTGTATGTATGTATGTATCAGACGAGCTCTCTCCTCTCTTGAATCTCGCGCGGCGAAGCACGCGTCATCGCCCGTGTTGTCATCTTCCGAATTGTATAAAAAATTTCGTCAGAGCAGACAGAGAGCGAACGAACATCAAAGGAAGAAGAACGCGCTTCGTCAAATGTCTCGCCGACGAAGTGGTTAGATATTGAAGAGCAGAGAGAGATAGAGAGAGAGAAAAGGAAAGACAGATAGATAGAATTGGAGCCAGCTGGTTTTGCGAGCAGCCCGTCGCGGGCCCGTCGCGTACGCTGAGAAAGCATCGTCTGCGAGGAGTGTCGAAGTGTCGTGAAGTGATAATATCGCTCGGGGAGTCCAGCGGCGGACATCGCACACCGAGCTATCAATCGCGCGCGCGACAACAATGGCAAAGACGTACGATTATTTATTCAAGTTGCTCCTAATCGGCGACTCCGGCGTAGGCAAGACTTGCGTGCTGTTCCGATTCTCCGAGGACGCGTTCAACACGACCTTCATCTCCACCATCGGTATGTGCGAGAGAAGACACGTCGTGTCCTCTCCCCCCTCCCCTCAACCCTACGCTCTATCATTAATCGTCTTCGTCGTCGCGCCTGGAATCGCGCGCTCCAGGGTGTGTCTCGAGACACATGTATCCGGTGCGCGCGGGCCAAATGTCATACGGGTATATTAGACAAAGAGTACATTATGTACCAAGCTTCTCAGTAATGTGATTCATCGTGTATATTGGTGTTACTCGTTTGTATTTATCTCTCTAAATCCTTGAGAGTGCTTCTTGATTTATGATTTTGTTGTACGTTACAGGCATTGACTTTAAGATTCGTACCATCGAATTAGACGGCAAGAAAATTAAACTACAAATATGGTAAATATGTTCTTGCGATGTTCTTCCTTCTCATTTCTATCAATTAAATTGTCTCGAATGTGATTTATATTTGTAGCATAAAATTATATTCAACTATATTTTGGATCATGTATATAATTGTAGGGACACTGCTGGACAAGAAAGGTTTCGTACCATAACCACAGCGTACTATCGTGGAGCAATGGGAATTATGTTGGTGTATGATGTTACAAATGACAAAAGTTTTGAGAACATTAAAAATTGGATTCGAAATATAGAGGAAAACGCATCTGCAGATGTGGAAAAAATGTTATTAGGTAATAAGTGTGAGCTTACAGACAAAAGGCAAGTGACTAAGGAAAGAGGTGAACAACTAGCTGTCGAATATGGCATTAAATTTATGGAAACCTCTGCAAAATCTAGTATCAATGTTGAAGAAGCTTTTTATACTTTGGCACGTGATATCAAAGCAAAAATGGAGAAAAAATTGGTAAGAATGCATGTGAATTGTATTACATACTTTAATAAAATTAAAAATATTATGTTTATTACATGGATTATTCATTGGTCATTGGTATTCATATTTCACAATGTTTATATAAAAACTTTCACATTTAAAAACTTATTATATAAAGTTTAATATAATTAGAATATACAAATTAGAAATGCTTAATGATATCCTTATAATACTAAATTAAGCATTAGTTTTTATGAACACAAACATTTTTCTCATATTTATTGCAAAATAACCACTTTTCTCTGTTTCCTGTCTCTGTTTCTCTGTATTTGGTGCTGGTCTATCTTGGCAGAAGGTAATTTTTTGTACACTGTTTTTAGTTGGTTCCTAATTCTATACATATAACATTGTAGCAATCCCTAAAGCATTTTAATCATATTTTAACTATTGCATATTCATTATTAATCTCTATTATGGTTCCTATCTATTAAACTATTTTAATAATATTTTAACAACATTGCATGCATTTATGTTTGATACACATTAATTGCCTGCTAGAAAAATATTGTGACTTTATGTTTATTAAATATTAATTAAAATACTTTTCTCTCTCATATATTAAAAGCAAACAGATTTTACATACATCTATGATATTAATTTCAGTTTTTGCTTTTGTATATGTGTAGTGTGTGCATGCGTGCACGTGTGCGCGTATGTGAAGTGTGCAAGATAAAAACTACATCTTTTTCACATTATATATATATATATATATATATAAGTAATCTTAATAATAACTTTAATCTTATTTAGTTTTCTATTTCACACATAATATATTTTACAATTAATATTTCTAATAATATTATTACTATTATTTTGTAATAATAATATCTGTACTATATGCTTATTATATTTTCTTTATTTAATTATTAAACTCTGTAATATTTGTTAATAACAAGCAACACTTTATTTACTTCATGAGTAAATTATTTTAAAAAATATATTGTGCAAGGTTACAACAAACAACATATAATGTTAATTATAACATTATAAAACAGTTAATTTAGTGGTAATAATATAATTTGTTATAATATATTATAATTAAGTTATAATATATTATAATATATTATAATTTATTATTTATGTTGTCAATATCATGTTTATTATTTTCTGCAGGAAGCGTCGAATCCACCGAAAGGCGGCGGTCATCAGTTGAAAGCTTCAGAACCACAAAGGAAACCACCTAGTTGGCTCGCTCGTTGTACTATACTCTGACCCTTTAAATATTTTCAATTATTCAGTGAGAAGACACATCTATTTACAATCATTAAATACTTATGTTCATTTTGTCGAACAAAACCAATGTTTTGTGGAACTTTTTATGTCCCCAGTATTGGGTTTAGCAATGGGCTTACTCCTTGACAATGAAACAATCACATTTGTATTAAAAACTCAAAAATTACTTACATGAATGTATTTTTTGCCGAAAAAACCCTCAGAGGAGAAAATATATGTTAGAATTTTGTATTTTATTATATATAAGAAAAAGAGGGTACACATTTTAATGAAACTATTACAATTGCTATGTACTCTTCAATTCGTTAATTACTATAATTAAGTGGATTTATATATAGGTGATAATTTTTGTGATAAATATATCGATTGAGATTTAATTGTCTTATATCTTATCATATTACTTCGAAAATTTATGATATAATTATTAAATTACAATTAAAAATTACTACATGTGATATATTAATAAACACACAATGAATTTCTCCTCTGGTGTTTTTACACATTCGATGGGTATAATCACAATTTTTTTATCAAAAAAACTTGAATATAAAGTGTATCTTAATTTTATGGCAATGGGATGAACATTTTTTATGCACGAAATTCTGTATTGTTTCAAGATAATTTACATCGTGTGTGTTTTTTGAAGGATCATGTTTGTAAGAATATATATAGAAACATACATCACACAAACACACACTATGCAACATCACATAGAACGACTAAAAATTAAAAAAAAAAATAAATAAGATTAAGCAGTATAGATATCACAATCGTTTTTATACTGTTATTAAGCAGATATAGCTTTTTCACAAAATTAACGGAAAAACATAAAATGTACTAGAGCATTAACTGATGATGTAATTAAAATGCCTTGTGACGAATTGAACAAGAACTTTATAGACAATTTTATTATATTACTGATAGTCGTAGAATTTTATTAAGTCTAAGGATTTTTGCACACAGAACACGTCAATGCGTTATATGTGCAAGAACTCTTAAAAAGATGAACGCGAAACTTGTTTTCCGTAGAATTATTATTTTATAGAGGTAGATTCGTGCGCGTTTACAAGGATCTGCAGCAAACAAATCTTTTAATCGCTGGTTGTCATAATATGCAAGTTTATATTTTTACTTGCCAGACTTAAGTTTGCATTTTTACCATCAGAAGTTGTCCAACTTATACTTAAATATATAAACGATTATTATAATACATTTTTTATTAATCATGTATATACATAGTTTCAGTGTATTTATTAGTAAAATATCCTATCCTATTATTCTTCACATAGATTGTAGAGATAAATATCTATTTTTCTAGATGAACATATTTTACAAGTTTGTCTGTAAATTCTTCATTTCTGACTGACATTGAAGCTAGCATATATTCCAAATCTTTAATTTTTGTTTCATTCTTTCGATGTATCGCGTGTGTGCACATACCTATAACTTGTAAGCGTTGATTAAGACTGATAATTGCTTCACAAGACTTTTGCAGATTTTGTTGTTCTTGCGAAAGTTTCGTGATTTTGCTGAAATCAATCGTGAACTTCATATATACTAATATTTATATATTAATTATCGTTAAAATAATATTAAATCTTGCTTTATCATTAACACTGTCATTACAAAAAAATTGGATTGCAAATTAAAAATCGAAAAATTACAATTAAAATTAAGATAAGTCGGGTCTGCAAATTATACGTATTTATGTGCATTAAAATATATGCGTACATATATTAAAAATAAGATTATATATAATAATATTATATAAGATGAGACATCTTTGTATTTATATTTAAAGTACAAAGAGAAAAATGGCCAAATGGAAGTTTATGATATAAAAAGAGTATAGTTCAAACTTACACACACACATGATAACGAAATATATATACATGATAATAAAAAAATGATATAAAAAATGATATCAAGCTCCAAGTAACATTTCGAACAGAAAATAAAGTGAATTTTCTTAAATGGTTTTAGCTGTTAAGAAACTTAATATACACAATCATATGATATTGCAAATATAATGCACAAAATTAAAACAATGTTTATAAAGAAAATTACAATGCCAAGAACAAATAGAAATAAAAGGATTTACCTAATTGAAGAGATGGGAAGTGTAACCGTAAGAAACGCTCTAGTAATTACTAATTAAAATGATACTTAATAAGCATATCAAAGATTGATTTATTAATTGTAATTTTAATAACGATTATTAAATTTTTTTCCTCTCTTTGCATCTTCCGTCTCTTGAATTTGATGAGTCTTCTTATTTTCATTGTTTTTAACATTACAATTTTCTTTATGAACATTGTTTCTGTAATTTTACGCATGTTCTATTTGAATGTTTTATCTGTGAAATTTCTTAATAGCTGAAACCGTTTAGAATTAATTTTGTTTACTTTCTGTCCGAGACATAAATTACGTAGAGATCGGAGAATAATTTTTATATCACATCATGCATATATATATATATATATATAAAATTCTTTTTTCTCTTATATTATTCTTTGTATCGTTTCTTAGTATGACACGAATAATTTCTATTAACAATTACTGAAAATGGTCTAAAAAGGAACTAAAACATTTAATAATTAAAGGATTTTCAGGGGTGGATTTGGAGGTTTAATTCTTTTTATTCGTGCATTTTCGCTAAATTCTTAGCCCATTTTCCTCTTTATGTTGTACATTATTTATTAGATTTTTTGTTATTATTTTTATATATTTCTTACGTAACAATAGAAAGATATTTTTTTTAACTAAATGCGGACTCTCATCATATTATTCGTGAATATTCGTGTTACGATGGGTCGACAAATTTATTCTTGACGAGGTCAAACTTACTGATCGATAGCTGTAATAGTGCGCAAACTATCATGTTCCAGTTCATTTAACGTTTGCTCCAATCTCTTATTGCTCATCTCTTTCTGACGTAAGTTCTCTTCTAAGCTTTGAATTTTAATTTTGCATTTAGTCTCGTGTACTTTAGCGGTCGTGGCTTCATTCATCAGAGAGTCGTATTGTTTCGCCATCGCATCATATTTGACTTGTAATTGAACGCCCTCGACTTGACTTTTTGTTTGCTGTTGCTGCAATTCATTAATTGCATTCATAGCTGCTTTCAGTTGCATTCTTAACTCATGAGAAATTCTACGTTCTTTCTCGAGTTCTGACTCCGTACTATATAAAGCGTGACGAGTTTCCAGAAGTTCCTTTTGCGTCACCCGCAAGGTATCCTGTATTCTCGAAACGTATATGTATAATATAATTTATATGATATATTCTAGGATAAATTATCGCATTCCTGATTGAATAAGTCATTGTAGAAGAATGTTAAGAGATATAATAATTTCTACATAACCACTTAATTATTAAAATTTTCGAAAAAATTACCAGAAAATGAGATACATTCTGCATGCTTGAATTATTTCAAAATTCCAAATTAAAGAGTGATTTTCTTTAAAACAAAAATCCCCTTATTCTTTTTTTAAAATTCATTTGCAAAAAAATTTATTCAAATATACTTTTTGCAATATTTGATTTAATTCGCATGTTGTAATTTAGATATTCTTTGAATATATCAAATATTTTGCAATATTTAAATTTCCACATATGCATTATCGTTATCTTTTATGTTATTTAAAGGGAATGAAATTCTACAGATAATAATATAGGCTCGTGTAAAAGACTTCAAGTGTTAATCAATATAACAGTCGTACTTACCGTATTATTTTGCAACTCGTATAGCTTTTCTTGAAATTGTCGTTCTAATTGAGAGATATCTTGTATATTCGATATCATTATATCGTCATCCATGATTACTGCAATATATTATCGTCTTAAAATGTAATTAATTGTTAATTAACGCAGAACAAACACATCTGAAGAATTTTCTACTTTAATTTTCTTGTTAGTAACCAACTTCAACTTAAAGAACGCAAGTGGAACATTTTTGAATAACTTCCAAAGATTTAAATAATAAATTGTAATTACATAATGTCGAATATAAAATATGAATGGAGATCTACGCGAAAATTTGCGACTTTTTTTGAATAATATATTTTTTTAAATATAGTATAGTATTTTCAAATCTTATAAATTTTGATCGCATTTGAAACTACATTCGTATTTTTCATTTTATTTTATTTTTTCATATCTACATACTCGAATATAGTATATGAATATTTTTAAATTTTCTATTCTCTATTTCTCTCTTTTTCTCATACATTTTTTATATGAGATTTTTAAAAAGAAATAGAAAGATAGGTCATACAGATACTTAAAACGAGAACAAAATGATTTCGATCTCTCGTAATAACACTTCTATATAAGATTTCTATATAGGGTGCCTCATTTCTTCTATGCTTTATATATTTAGAATCAACAATCAAAGAATCTTTTCATTAAAATTTAATGCGATAATGTAATTATCGCATTAAATATCTCGATTTTGAGTCATTGAATTTTGTATGATCTCTTTTTTTGGTTCTATAAATTTTAATTCAACCAAAGATCATTTAATATTTATTATATCACTTAGATAGTGTGTAATAAATATATTGAATAATTAATATTATACACATATAAAATAGATAGCATTATTAAACGTAAAAATTGCTTAAGATTATATAATTGTTGCTCACAGAGTTTTTGCGTATATCATAAATGTTATAAATCCATTAAACGTGTTATCACCCGGTATATTCACAGAATTACAGATGTGGCGCATGGACCAAATGGAGTTCGGATGTAAAAACGGCAACGACGGAGAGAGGAAGAGAAACAGAGAGAAGGCTAGGGGTGGATCGCATGCGCATCTCTCGGAATAGCGATTCTCGGCCACCCCCGCCGATTATGGATGTTTAGTATCGACGTTGTTGCTAGTGTGTCGTTGCTCGCTCTCTCGCTCCTCCAAATTGCAGATTCCAAATTTATAATTGTGTTTACGAGTGCGACGAAAGTATTGGTGCCGTTTCGATCGAGAGATAATGATCGAAATCGCGAAACAGATACCGGAGTACATTGCGGATACGCGATTATGTGTCCGTATCGTTACCACGCTACATTAGCAACCCTCGATATCATTAATCATGGTCCTGCGTGATCGCGATCTACCAGGACACGAGCAACATGCCGAGCGACAACTATTTGGGAAAGACGCACACACATGTCGCAGTGATAGCGATTATGACGTTGCTTCTGCTCACGCTAAATATCAAGTGCATAGGTGAATATCAAGTGTCTTTCGCGACATCTTGATATTTCAATCTCATTACATCATTTTTACTTAAAAAAAATTACAGAATTAAAGAAGCAAGCGAAAAACGATTAATTAAAAAAATATATAAAATATTCTGGGGTGTGTGTTTAGCATCATGTAATTAATTTTAATTTATAATTAGTTTCATATTATCTTTATCTTATATATATATATATATATGAAAGCTTCGTATGTACAATTTCCTACTCGTTTAGTTATCTTAGGACAACATTGAAGGGATAGCACGTGGTACCCTTTGCTTTATGATTCAACCGCGCGTGGACTATGCCAACGTAACCGGTTGTTTCGCGATGGGTGCCACGCGATCTTAAGTCAAAGCGATCTTTAATTCGGCGTTTATCGCGCAAGCCGCTATAAAACATGATCGATCTTCGGGATGCTGTTGCGAGGGTGTGCGCGAGCGTGCGCGCACTAAAAGGCATAGTTTCAAATTCTCCGATTACTTATCGTGTGTAGTTGCAGATACCGCCGAGAGCTTGCAACGAGGATGCAAATTAGAAGGCCTTCACCCTCTCCTTATTGTTACCTATAAAGAGATCACTATATCTGTAAGTATATACTCTGCTTTTCACTTTTTATTTATTTATTTATTGCTTGATGATAGCATTAAATTAATAAAAATATAACTCAAAATTAAGAAGATAAATTTAGGGTATTCTGAATATTCTTTTAATAAATATTATTAATAAATATTTTAAATCCATTATTTTAAAGATGGAAAGAAAATTTTGTGTGATACAGCTCTTATAGTTTTTAGGAATCATAATGAATTTTCCAATGAAAAATATAACAAATGTTGTAGGTAGACAAGATCACGGTACCTCACAATGAACGAATCACAGTGAGGTGTCGAGAACTAGGTAAATACAAACTCATCGGCGAGCCTTTGTTACACTGCCGTAATAGTACGTGGAACGGAAAGACACCTTATTGCGTGCCTACCACGGCCATTTCCAACTATACTGGTATGTTATAATTAATATCGTGATCATATTTAATAATCGATTTAAGATTTCATATAATACAAAAACATTTAGTAAAATTTTTTAATTATTCAAAAGCATAAGATTGTTAATCATTTTCTATCTAAAAATAGAAAAAATAATATATATAACTCTTATCTTTTAATATAATATATATAATTCTATAAACATATTTTGATATATTTTGATATATTCTGGATTTTTACGTGGTATCTTTAGGAAGGATGATAACTTTTGACAAATCTTCTTTTCTTATTTTAATTTCTTAACAGATAATGTACCGCCGACCATTGTCTTCGGTCTACCAGCCGGTTCGGCCGCCGTAGAGCCAACTGGTGCACTCGCTGTCTTCCCAGGAAGTATTCTGCATCTGGAATGCCTCTTTGCGAGAAAATTAGGCAATCCTGAATGGACATGGACCTCAACTTTCCGCCGATATCTGACAGGTAAATCGCAAGAGCTAAAAATTGTGAATATAATGAACAAAAAACCTTACATTTTTATAATATTTATAATATTTTTATAATATTTATAACATTTTTATAATAATTCATATTATAAAATCGTATATTTGAATCTCTAAATTATGTCTTTTAATTTTGCTATTAAAAGAAAAATAAGAAAATATAACTATCTCGAGCAGTTTCGTTTTAATGATCACTCCCTCTTCGTATTTTATATATTTTTTTTAGGATGGGCAATCGCTGCACGAGAAAGAGACTACAAGTATCGTCTCTCGATATACTACGCTAAACATCATGATTCCGGGCTTTATACGTGCTCCACACCCAAAGGATTATCCAATTCTATACAAGTTCGTGTTATAGGTATGATCATAAAGCTATGCCGTGTTTTGAAGATAATATATTAAAAAAAATGTTTGTACAATAAATAAATAAATAAATAAATATAATAAGTAAATATATTGTATAATAAATATATATGCTTTTTAGAATTTGTCATATTAATATTGATCGTATTCAGCAGGAGACAATAAAGTTTTCCAACTATCTTATCATTTAAATTTTGTTGTTTTGCAGATGTCCAGTGTTCGGTATTGGCCGTTCCTGAACCACCGTTGATCAGTGATATCGGGGGTAGTCGAATAGGAGACAATGCAATTTTCGAGTGTCCAATGGGTTATAGATTAGAGGGTGCTTCCGGTATTACGTGTCAATATAACGGTACGAAGTGATGCGCTTTCTTTCCCTGAATATAATTAGATATGAACTTAGAAAAAATGCTGTTTTTATAGGCAAATGGTCAGCAAGTGTGCCACATTGCGAAGAAATCGAATGTCCAGCAATAGATATCGCAGACAACCCATTATTAACTTTGATCGAGCATAATAATACTTATGGCGGAAAAGTTGTTTTCACTTGTATGTGGGGATATAAGCTGTCTGGTTCGCAAAGTATAAAATGTGAAGGAAATGGCAGATGGAATGGAACTATACCAACTTGTCTTGGTAAAGTCATTTAAACAAACATTACGATCAATATTATTCTTAAAAGCCATTTCTTTATATTATATTTCTAAATATATATATATATATATATATATATATATATATATATTTTATTGAGAAAAATATTACTTAAATATCTTCTTAAAAGGAAAAATTGCTAAAATTTTAAGCATCTGAATTTTAAATTTTTAATTCAAACATTTCATTTGATTATCTCTTAACTATAAAAATATAATCCTAAAAAATTTTTTGTAGATTTCAATGGTTTTTATTATCACATTCTAATCTATCTTTCATTATTTCAATCAAAGATAATGCAGATAATAAGGAATAATATTTACAGAAATTACTTGTCCAATACCAGAGACGCCACGAAGCGGACGCATCATCGAGCAAACACGATACTCTAATAAGAAGCGATATCGCGCCCAAATATATAAAGTTGGTGCCCTAGTGAGATTCGCTTGTTTACCGGGTCATCAACTGATAGGAGAAGCATCCATCATATGTACTGAAAACGGCACCTGGTCTCACCGTCCACCCGTATGTGAGTAGCGTTGTGACTAAGCTTTCTAATACTTTAAGTGTCACTTCATAATCTATAAATTTAGCATTAATTAAAAAATTTATCTATTATATTTTAGAAAAGATTGCCAATGTTATTCTATAATTTTGTCAAAAATAATGACATTATAGAAATATTAATGAAATATTATTTTCCATGTATATATAGTATTTTCTTGAAAATTATTATTAAAATTTTTAAATAGTAAATACTAATCAGTGCAATATTTTAGGTAAAGTAAGATGTCCTTACCCGGGTGATCCTCCTCATGGTCGAATCGCGCCTCTCAAGTTTTGGTACAAACCAGGAGACAACATTCAAGTAAATTCCATTTTACATTTAACATATAATTATAGATCATGATGTAGTGATTAACTTTCGAAAATAAATTATTCGAGCATAATTCTGGGATTTACACGGACAGGTAACATGTTCGCCTGGCTATGTGACTCCTTTGGAACCAGTGAAGAAACCGTCGTGTCGAGAAAATGGCATTTGGAGCGCACCACCGCCTCCCTGTCGATCTTACAAAGAGGTGTAAACGTGAAGAAAAATCGCTGAATCTCTTATAAGTTTTACGGGCTATCGGGCTCTTTTATCTTTCAACGAGAAAACACATCTGATATTCATTACGGGTAGCATATAAATAAGAGGAACGTGGAGAGACTCGCGTAAAACATTCGTTTTGTTTCGAATGATAGATATGCTATGTAAAGTTAATGATTTTATCAGATAATGAATATAGCAATCGTACGAATCGACAAATAATCACGAATAGATCACTGGAAGGAAACATCTTGCGTTAAACGTAGGCCGCAAAATGACCAGTATTTTATTTATAATTTACTTCCAGATATACAACGATTTTAATAAAAAATAAATCCCTTTTTAATAATACACCCTTAATAAATATTTTCTCACAATTATTTCTATCTATTTAATATTGAAGTGCAATACTATGATAAATTTCTTTCTCTCTCTATACAGAATAGATATTAAACCTAAACGAGTTCTAAAACGTTAGCAACTGACATAGTTACCGCTCTCGTTGCCATAATAATTGGAATGCAGCGCGCAATTAATCCAATCGGATAATAACAATTATTTCGCGTGCACGTGATGTGATTCAACATTCGACGCTGCAATCCATCAAACGTCAAGGAGCATCGAGGAAATGGGTCGAATGAAAATTTCCAGAAAGATACAAGTGGAAACATGGCTTACCAGGGACAAAATAAGTCGATATCGTGGAATTCTGAAATTACATGGTTAGAAATAATTAAAGTTTATCGATTTTCTAATATATACGAATCGAAATACAAACACATCTTTTATTTCTAACTGAATCAAATAATGATAAGTGAATTATTATAGAGAAAAGACTCTCTGATATAGTCTCTTAGTGCAATTTTTATTTTTCAATAATAGAACATATATAATTCTACAAAATAGAGATTTTTAGAAAAATAAAACTATCATAGTGTTATACTGTTATTTCCGTATAAATAGTTAAGAGAGCAATTTTTTAAACACAAAATAAAGTTTATATAAATAAGAGACATTTTCAATGTTTTATAAAAGATAAAGTCCTTTTCATGAGACAGTACGATATAATTGATCTAATTATTTTCTAATCTATATTTGAATATACCTAATTCTGATATATCCAGCACGCGATAAGAAATTGCAGTTGTCGCAAGCTACGAAATTGAAATCAATAGTGTCGAAAAAGATCGTGTCTCTGGAAGTAGATATTAAAAGACATCGCGAAATTGTTACTGATTTGAGCGATGACGGTAAACGACATGTACTCGGATCGCTGGCTGACCACAGACTATTTTATTTGGCATTCAGTCACCTAAAACCATCCGTAAGAATAGATCGACATTGAAACCTTTGAATCTTAAAATTAATTTAAATTTTTTTTGGAGATTCGCGAAGTATCTGGAATATGCGCTATAATATGCGAATATCTCGCAGGAAATTTATGCAGCGATATATCAAGATTGCAGTGTGAAACGTCGTCTCTTGGACAAACTCTATTATAAAAGAAAGAAAAAATTGCAGCGAGGTATTGAACTGCAGGTAAACCTTGATCTTTACATAGTTATGTATCGTATCTATTATATAATACATTTAATTGTAGCTAATAAATCTATACTTGTCTACTCAATAAAATAGTATTTTATACGTTTCGTGCTAATTTTGAGCTATAGATTAAAGATTTGTTTGCTTGTTCTCGCGGATAAGTCGAATCGCTGCGTTCTTTTAACCGATCTCGAGGAGCAAACCGAGGAATTACCACACTGCGAGCAGCAAAAATTGATAGCGAGATTACAGCAATCCATCACAAAATATGACGCGGCGAAAGCGATATATTCTACGTACTGCTCGATGTTAAATATCCTGAGAAAGGTAAATCTTCAATTTTATATTACGTTATTAAATAAACAAGTTCGTTCATCTCTTTGAAATTTCTAGGACGCAATATTTTTCGATTCCTTATTGAATATTTTAAAAGAGGATCAATCTTCCCAATGTAAAGCAATGTTGAGGGTGACGGTGATGGGTCAGCTGGCAGCTGAGAGTCTGGATGACGTTAGACAGAAATATAAGAGAATGACTCGTATCGTTTTGCGTAATATGAAAATCAGAGAGCAAATGTTAAGTACTATACGTTGTCAAGTGGACGATTTGTGGGCTTACGCGCAATCGTTGATTCGCGTTGAAGTGAGTGATTGCAAATAATTGCAAAAATTGAGCAAACATTTACTGATTTTTTTTTTGGAAAATAATGAAAGAGAAATGACACAATACAAATATAAAACTTTGAAGAAACAATCTTCTGTAAATTAATAAATTTATATCCCTATAAGTTAATAAATTAATAAATTAATAAGTTAATAAATTTATATCCCTATAAGTTAAATTTCATATATCCTACAATTTTTTATCCTCTCTCCTAGCTCTATCGAATTAAAATATACATATACTTCTTTCAATAATAGCAACGAATATACTTAATACTGCGTTTTCTTACTTCTGGTAATTTACAGAGCGATCACATTTTTGCGAAAAAAGATCCCGATGTATCTGTTGATAAAATATTAGAAAATCAGTTAGCACTTCTGGAAAATATCTGTATTAAAGTAAAAGAAACTCTACTCGTGCGTTCTTATTATGACTTATTATCAAGGTATTTCAAGTATCTAGTAAATAATTTATTTCTTCTATAATTGTTATAAAATTCTATTTCCTGTAATTAGACTTGAAACCCAATACAAACAGAAGAGAGCTTTGCTAGCGCGATTAGATACCAATATAAAAAATCGCGATCTTTTGTTGAGTAAAAAAAATTATGCTCTACAATTTCTCGAGAATCTCAAACATTCTACAAAACCTACAACAGAACAGTAATTAATTGCTATATAATAAAGCATTAAACAAGATTATAAATTTATCTAAAGTTATCAATATAATATGAATGTATTTTTACTGTTTTATTATATATGATATTTTTTAAAATTGATTAAAAAACTTTAGGTATAAAATAAACGATGTACATGATATACTGGAACAAATCGAGACTGAGAAGAAACGCGAGAAAGATTTGAAGGAACAGAAGAAAACTTTGGGAGAATTGTTCACGAATATCAGAGCAGCTTTACTGAATATAAACATGATATTGCTCTGTGTGAAACTCAGTACCAAAAGTACAAAGAAGCTACCCAGAGATGCGAATAAGACGGGACTGAAAGAAAGTATAATCACGATCGATAGAGAAGATGTGGAAGAACGCGATATGCTATTGGAACTCGAAGGAATAGACACCGATGGTAAAAAAATATAATTATGTAAGAAAAATTAACATGAAATCTTTTTTTCCATATACTTTTTCTATTCCTCGAAACATCAAGTTATTGATAAAGAAGATCAATTCAGTCACTGATTTTACAGTTTTGATGCTGTTATCGAAAATTAGCCGGAAAGTAAACCTTCTCTTCGGCATGAGCAATTTTGAACTCGAGCAGGAAAAGGAAGATAGAGCACGGGATCTCTATCAAACTTACGTATCCCATTATAATTCCAATATGATATTCGGAACCGGTGAAGAGGAGCCGATTGGTAAATATTATTGTTATATATATATATATTTTACACATTTTTATCTAACATACCAATAATCTCTTAATGATGGATTTTATATAAATGACACGATTTTATAGGACTATTGGTTGAACATGAGACAGTTGATGTCACTATTCCGACGCGGACAGACATCAAACTTCGTAGCAGGCAAATTATAGAGGCACATCTGAAACCAGAATAATATCAGATCTATCATAATAAACACAATAATGTAAAATAATTTTTATTTATTGTATTGTAATTTTTATTTATAGTATTTTGTATTTACCATTTTGTATTAACTAGTATTCATTGAGATCGTTAACACGACCTTGTCCCTTTCTCTTCTTTGTTATCTCGAATTTCAACCAAGAAGGCTTGTATTTACTAGATCGAAGAATCAATGGGTATTTCAGCGGTGGCTCTGGTCCATTAAAAGGATGAACTTTCTTCAATTTTCTCAATAAAAACTCCTTAGTTATCTGTTTGGGATCACGGTATTTGTCCAAATAGAGATTGAAAGGTTGTTTTAAAGGAAACCACTTTTGTTTTCTAATGTATGGTTTAGGAAAATTATACCGAAATATTGGCATTTTTGTATTTAACGTATTGTAATAGAATTCTTTGAGGGAGGAATCCCAATCTGATTGAAAAAATGCTAAACCAGCAGGCGTCATTTGATCTTGATGTTTTCTGTAAAATTCCAGTGTTTTCCAATCACGTTCTTTCAGATTTAAACAGGGCTTTGTTTTTTTATATCCTGAGAAATCTATGTGACAGTCTTGTTTGTACAATACAAAGATATATCTACAATATCCAATTCCATATGGTGCTTAATTGGTTCTTTAGATTTAATATCTAAATCTAGTCTCTTTTTCTACAATTTTCATTCCAATTCCATATGGTGCTATTGGTCTTAGATAATCTATCAGCTCTTCTCCTTCTTCCACACGATTGCCAGGAATGTTGCCAATAAACCAATGACAATATTCATTACATGTGTTCAAATTACCATCCGGTGTAGTCATTATTAGAGTCCACAATGATCCAGCCTTTGCGTTATACTTCACATTAGGTACATTAGAAGCTTCGCTTGGCTTGATCACATTACCATTGTAAACTCTTGTCAATTGATCATTTTCAAGTTCATAACTTATATCTAATGGAACAGTTGGCATGAAGTAAGCATCTTCATATAGATGTTTATAGATGCCGTAATGTTCTGCTATTCTGTGAATGTGAAAAGGTCCATCGATTTGTAACCAGTCCTTTCGCATTTTTTGTAGATCTATCAACAGTTTCTTGTTACGCGAAGCTCTTTCTAATTCAGGATTTTTTCTAAGCTCCAAGATCTCCTTCGACCACATGCCCGATATCATTCGTCTGGTGACTTTCGACACTGGAAAGCCGATGTCCACCTTGAAATTCACATTCGGATCCTCTCGTTTGAGACGCAATTTCTCGAGACGTTGCTGCAAATTACGAGCGAGTGTCGGCGGTTTTCCACGTAACCGATGACCATGTCGCACATGTTGATTTCTCGGAATTAGAAGATCGTTGATGAGACAACGAAAAAGTTTGGGGAACATATTGCGACACTTTATCGAATCGTGTTTCACGAGAGGCAGTCGAATGACATATCTTTATTTAGCAGCTACGAAAAATTGTCTGCAACATAGATACGAATTTTTTTCAATTTTATATATAATGTTTAACCTACCGTCAATCGACAGGTATACGAATTAGGTTATATTAGATCATAATCGCAAAAATACAATACACTCCGTCAAGCATAACTATGAATATACAAGACTGGTTATTTACTAAAATTTAAAGCTAATGTAATGAGAATGATGGCCATCACACATAAAATTCCATAAGCACGTAAAACGTAACGTAAGAAAATCGACCAATCAGGTCGAGTATAGATCCCTTGGAGGGGCCAATACTCGACCGTGATTGGTCGATTTCCTTACGCTTACGTGCTTATGGAATTTTATGTGTGATGGCCATGACAGATAGGGCTTTTATACTCGTAAGAGCAGCTGTATGAAAACGTGGCTTAATTTCTACATTCATGATTACACAATACACTGCAATACACACATACAGCCGGCCCATAGATGATGTCAGTGACGTGAAAGCATCGGGATGAAACTACCCAATCGCATCTAATGCACGGTCGTTTATTACTTTTCGGAATCGCTAGATGCCTATTTTTTTTGACATATTGCCAATTGTTATGTTTTCCTTTCACACTACGCGTTATTAACGTTCCATTCGTAACGCGATTAATTTTGATACGAAATGACAGGTATTCACTTTCGATTAGATTGACCGATATCTTCCATGTCACACGTGTATCTCATCGGTTTGAAATTGATCCAATCCGATAATGTAATGAGAATGACTAGTTTTTGGAGAACAGCAGAAAGAAATTCATCCGATTTTTGACAGAAGTTTTTCATTCGCTTTTACAAACAAATTCCTGCGAGAGCAAACGTGTTATGGATTTTCGTTGACGTTAAATATAGCATTGACAAGCATAGCGTGAGTGTAAATACACTTTTTATGTCATCGCCACTTTTATCTCTTAATGATGTCTTAATCTTTTAGTCGTAATGGCAGCGAAAGGGAATCTCGACATTGTAATTCATATATAAAAATGGTATGTATATTTTTAGTCTTTTGTTTCATACAAAAAGATTTCCAACGAATTGATCCTTTAATTAATTAATATATATGTTGATTGATATAATTAATATGTTGTATTGATTAATTTAATTAAAATAAACATTACTTTTAAATGTTTTATTACAGTTGCATTAAAATTATATTAGCATTATTTGATTATTTATACATTTTTTTGCAAGTTATAAAGTTATAAATATACATTATAAATAAATATGTCTCAAAGAATCCTATACAATAACACTTTCATTAGAATTAGATTTATAAACATTATAGATTTATAAATAAATTGTACAATTCTGGATTAATGTGGTATTATATTGTAAACAAAATATAACTACTATAATACTACTTAATAATACTATTTTTTATAAAAATTTCTAAAAAAAGTTTTCTATCTCAACTTTCAGTATATAAAAGATAAATAAACTGTGGAAATTGTAAATATGTTGGCTTGATTGTCAGAATGCAAGATGAGATTCAATAAGCAAGAACTATTAACACTAGCCACGCAGCCTTCACAGAAATTTGAGAAAGAAGGTGTCCTGTATGTGAGAGAACGACAAGAAGGTTTCTTTCGCAGAACAGAAAGTAAGTCCTTGGATTATATATATATATATATATATATATATATATATATATATATATACACAAATATTTATTTGAATTGGAACGATAACATTATTTTAGCATATAAAATTAATGCATGATTATCCCTTATTTATATTCTATGTCTTGACAATAAATTTAAACGATGTATACATTTTTCATTTGGTGTTTAATGTAGAGCCTGTCATCTTGTTAAGATTGTCAAAGTATGTTGTGATTAAGAGTATCATGAGTAAAAAAAGACTGCATTTGATTGAAGCTTTGTTATAAGAAAAAAAAGAGAATATTATTTGTTAATGTCAGTTTGTTAAAATATTTTTATATTTTTATATTTACTAGAACTTCTTGTTTAAAATGTAAATATATTGATAGTAATAGGATGGATTAAATGTATATTAATAGGTATTACAGAATGTGTTGCACGAAGTAGATTTTATCAGTTCTTATAAATTGTTATGAATTGTTGTGCGATAATAATGAAGATAACAAATAATTCATACTATTTTTTTATTCTTTTATATTATGGTATGGCTTTGCACGAAATATGAAACATGTGTTTTATATATCTAATATTGTCAGCACTAGAAATTTTGTGAAAGTATTAAGAATAGAGAAGTTTATTTAATTATTCTCTTTCTGAATTATTCAAGATTTATCTAGCTATTTTAAATATTAAAATAAAGTAATAACTTAAATATACAATATAAATATATATATTTAATTATATATATATATATATATAAAATTCCATAAATTTAAAAATATATTAAATAAAATTCTAATTAAAAATATGGTTTAATTTATTTTAATAAAATATATTTTTTTATTTCACATTATAATCCGATAAATTATAAACATTAAAATAAAATATTTTATCGTTTCACTCGACATAATTATTAACAATTAGATAAGGGACAATTATTTATATTAACTATATTAATTAATAACTTAATTATTTATATTAATTTTAATTATATATATTATATAACGAGATACAATAATGAAATAAAAACATCGGTAGATTCTCATTTCATTTTTATATGATTAATCATAAATCGACTCGCCTGATCATCATTGCGTAGAAAAGATAAATTATAAATCATACTCCACTTTTTATTTTATTGGGATATATCGTTATGTGTGGCAGCTATCAGTACCTCGTACAATTTCCAGGTACGGGTAAAAAACCCGAGAACAAAAATCAGAGAGGAAGATCGCATAAGAGTCTACGAAACCTCAATTGCGTTACAGCTGGCGCGAGCAAAGGTACATTATCCGAGTACGTTTACGTATTTATTTAAAATCCCTCTCACGCTCATGACTTTTACGCAATTAACACACACTCTTCAACGACTCGATTAATCTTAATTATAGACGTGTATAGACGTTTTTCCTCGACACTTACAAAAGACACTTGCAAGAGTGATTCGATGCACGCTTGAACGAAATTGATCTTGCATTTCGTCGATTGTATATTGAAAATTGGTTGAAGGAAAATGGAATGAACTGGATACTAAACTTTTAGCTCGAGTTTAATATTTCTATTATAATATTTCGTATTTAACATGCATGAGATTTAATGTTTTTGTCTATCCAAATTATTTATATATTACTATACTTTCATTGGCTTTTTCATTATTTGACGTAGATGATTTTGATGTTTGAATGCGTATTTATATTAAGTTCTTGATTCTCGATTTACCAGAGGACATAAATACATAAATGTTTTAATGTTAATCTTTTTCATTTAATACCTTGTAGTCCATCCATTTTATTTGCCTTATTATATTTAAATTATTTTTAGAAATTAGTACTTGAATATACATAATGTAACTCGTAAATTTTTTTTATAAAAAGAATTAACTATTAATTTTTTTAAAAATATTATTATTAAAAAAACTAACTATTAATATTTTTATTACTAGAGTTAAACAAAATTTGTCTCATCCGATAAGATATTATAAGAATCGTTTTCGACGAATCGAGGATTAATTGCATGTGCAACGGAATGCTTCGCATGTTCTGTAACTGTTTTCCTATAGAAGCTTCATTCATAAGAGGGTTTTAAAATCCTAGCGATTTAATTCATGAATATTCGCGTCACAAAATATATATTAAATTGTACATATATTTTAAATTTTTAAATTTTTAATATTTAATTTTTAATATTTTAAATTTTTATCCAAAAAAAAATGTAATAGACATTTCTTTTTTAATGCACATATATATTTATGCAGTATAATATGTATAAAAAAAGAGCATATGATACATATGTAAGAAATAAACATAAGATATATATATATATATATATATATATATATATATATATATATATATATATAGGAAATTTCAATTTGAATGCAATTTTTGTGTCGCGAATACTCGTAGCTGAAGATCGCATTGATTTTAACGAAGAGAATGAGAAGGGAAGAGATTAAGGACATGTATAGTGATGTAATAATGAAACGTTAATAAGGGCAAATCCCATGAGAAAAGTTGTTCGCTCTCGATAGGGCATGTCTTCAAGATGGGATGCGTCATGTATGTTGTACCATCATAGAAATATTTTACATAAAATTTAATGAAAAATGATTTATGATACAAAAAATTTCATTTTAGCGCCGATCAATATTCACAGGCATATAAATCTAAGAATGCTACAACAGATCTTGGATTTAAGGCTTCGCCTCTCGTTTTTGTCATTATTAAGGTATACGAAGTAAATTTCAGTTTATTTTCTTAAGAAAAGACATTCTCACATTTATTATGAATTATTACGTGTCGTCGACAATTTCATTATTGCCATTAATCAGCAGCCCATGAAAGATATATAAAATAACGTTGTTCTTCTCTTTCTCATCTTTTCCTCTACCGCTTGCTACTGTACGCGGAAACCCTAACAAAATCTTCCAGCGTACGAACGGTTATGCCTAAGCCGCTGCTCTTCTGCTTCTGTTGTGCAGTAAGTCTCGAACGATGGTGCAGATTGCGAGGCAATCTTTTGTTCTATTTCAAATCGCGGGAGCAGTGGTCGGAGCCGCTGGGGGTGATCATATTGGAGCAGTGCACGGTCCGCGTCGATCCACCCAGCAATCACGTCCCCTATGGATTCAGTATAGGCAAGTATTGTCATTCACGAATCCTTTCTCTTTTTGTTCCAATTCATTCCAATTCATTGTTATAATGGTGCATCGATGACGTCTGCTGTCGTCATCGTCATTTGCATGTATGCACGCGTTTTCAACGTAGCTTGCGAGGTCAAAAGCACAGAGGGAAACATGTTACAGTTTTCGACGGAGGCTTGTTTCAACAGTTAGGCGCCAACACGGCCGAGGAACGGGACAGTTGGTTGCAAGCATTGCAGTTGGCCAGTTACGAGTGCATGCGAAGCCAATTATTATCATTGCGACAGCGCATCGAGGCTTTCAGCGAACACAAGCACGACACTGACATTCAAATGTTGCGGTTGCAACGTGGAACTTTCACAGGTTGCGAATACTGAGAATAAAACTTTCCTTTTGTTTGAAAATACATACATATATATAAAAGAGTAGCTGAATAAAATAATATAGTTTTGTCAACATATTCTCTTTAACATATTGATTCTTTATCGATTATAAGTTTGAATAGTTTGTATAATTTTTTCTACGTCAAATTATTATTTAATAGACTTTAGCAAAACTTTTTATCTCAATTAAATTTTTTAAATTATTTAATATAGAATTAAATAATTTATAAATTATTTATTATTTAAATTTTTAAGTTATTTAATATAGAATCTTTATGAAGATATTTATTATAGGATTTTCATTAAAAAAAGAAAAATATCGATACGATATTTATCACAAAATATAGTTTTATTATTTAGCTTGAAATTTTATTTTAATGATGGAGTATAATGAGATCAAATTATATATATATATATATATACACATATATATGTATATTATTAGTTTCATGTTAAATTTATTTTATTAGATCCGGCGGAGGTACCAATGTGTGAGATATCACTAGCCTGCGATAATCTATTATGCGATGGACACGGCCGACCACCTACTCCCGTTTTAGAGATAGATGTACAATCGAAATCTTCCAAGACTTGGATTAAATATGCACGGACGGAAGTCGTTGAGGTAATGATGAAAAATATTCAGAAAAACTTCAGTAAACTTTAAATTGTTACAATTGCATAAACGTTTTTTTATGACTCATTTCAGCGAAGTAGTAATCCAAATTTTTTAACTACGGTAAGTTTCCGAGCTAGCGATGGTTTGACTACTGAAACAAAAATTAGAATAACTGCATATGACGTCAGGGAAAAAGTTAGCCAGACCGCAACTCCGATAGGAAGCGCGATAGTAATATTTAACACAGTACAAGATACTCCGAGGTAATTCTAATTGAACTATATTACTATTGAATAAATAAAAATCTCTCTGCTGTCAAAAAAATATAGACTTTTAAACTAAAATTTCAATTTTATTTTTAATAAACTTTAGAAACTTTATATTCAAAACAGTATATTACAATTGCCGTTTATTAGCTTTCTTATAATATTTTTAACTTTTTCTTTGTTGGTTTTAGATTAAGGATACCATTAAAATCAGCGAGAACAACAACAGTCGGATTTTTAACGATTAATGTATGGAACTTGGAAGCCGAAGATAAAGGAAATAGCACGGAAAGTACACCATCACGGAATGCGGTATACGGCAGTAACAATCAACAACAGGTAATGAATTAATTTAATCAAGTGTTTTAAATAAATTTATCGTTACAGTATTATTATATAAAGATACAGACATTAAATTTCATTCTAGTTTTATATTTTTATATAATACATTTTAGTTGCCTTCGCACAGGCGCTCTCAATCCTTACCTCCAAGACTAGGAACGAAAATCAAGTTTCCACATCAAGGCCAGTTAAAACTTTTGTTTGCAAATCCATTTGTACAGACTTATAGGTAAGTTTTTGCATTTTTAATGATTAGGACCAACTTAATTGATGCATTTATATCTATAATGCGAATATTATAGATTCCACTCTGGACTGGGCGGTGATATATGCGTACACGAGATTATGGCGGAAAGCAAGCTCTGTTTTCAATTTCCCCAGCATTTATTGTAAGTATATTTCATATTGTTTTATATATTACAAGTGTGAAATTGCGAAGTCAAGTAACATAGTAACAAATTGTAGGGGTATTTGGATACAGGAGGAAAAGGAATTGCTACAAGAGGTAGCTGGAATGGGAGAATTGAGGGAGCCATGGCATACCAAGCAAATCGAATTGCTCGATCGTCATCTTCATTTGTTACATTTATATTCTCAAGCCAAAGAAAACTTAGCTGCTTACAAAGGCAAGTATACTGACATTTATATTTATTTAACAAAGTTTATTTTGTAATAAAACAACAGTTTTGTGATAAATTGTTTAGAAAGCGCAAAAAAAAAGAAAGTGAAATTTAATATATTTTTAAAAATCTGTTTTTACATCTAATGATTCAAAAATTTCAGGAAGTTATTTCAAACAGTCATCGCGGAAGAATGATCGCACTCTTGAATTCGCGCCTTTAAATTTGCATCTTCAAAGAATGTGGGTTCACAATGATACATTGAATAAATGTGGATTTTACGATTTTATTAGCGTAGGAGCGTTCACTGCTCATTCCCACAAAAGCAAAAACGGCGGACTCATAAGGTATATAAGACATTTTTATCCAAACGATCATTAAAATAAAACACAATTATAATTGTTAATATATTTTTCTATTGTGTGCAGATTGGTGCAAGCACTAAAAGAATCGCCCATGCGAAGTAATCAACTCTATCAGGGAACATCCAAGATTACAATGGCACATGACGCGATTCAAGCAATCAAACAATTACGTCGGGACGTTGTAGAGGCAATGAGATCCTTGATGAAGCTCGCCAAGGAGAAACAAACGAGCGGCATGCTGCCAATATGTGAAGATATGATCACGAAAACTAGAATCTTACTTAGTCTCTGGGATCCGGGCTTGGTAGAAGAGGCATTAACATTTCTGGAAGAATATAAAGTTGCGAAGGTTCAGGAAGATTCCACGACATCAACCACAACATCGGATGACACTTTGACGTTAGATTTCAAAGTCAATCAATCCTTGTCACCATTCAAACGGATTACCCAACAGTTGAATTTTGATTTGAGAAGTCCTGATTTTGATGATTTTGTTACGCCTGATACTCCCGAATGCATGCAAGATATTTGGTCCAAAAGTAGCATTAAAAATGGCGAATACGCTCCTATATCGTACTCAAGAAATGATGCACCCAACAATAACGCCGGCGAGGGTGACGTTGCAGAAGAGAATTTCGTAATATTTCCGGATGTAGAGGACTATCCTAAGCAAACAGAAATGGAGCAAACTGACGAGAATCTTCAGCGAAATTACGATAATGAAAAAAAAGATAATTACGATGACGAAAAGGAAGATTTGAAAAATGACGCTGATCCGTGCAAGCGTTTTCTAGATACTCAAAAGATGTGCAATTCACCGTCTGCAAATTATTACAAACCTACAGACGAGCCGGAGCCGTGGGATCTCACTCAATTGAACATCGAGGCAAGTGTCATGTGTCTCGTGTCAAAGGTGAAATTTCTCTGCGGCAGATGCAGTAGTCCAGCTGTAAGATTACGTAACAAAAGTAGCTTAAGTAGGTCGCAGAGTCTCAAAGGTTGTCTACCGAGTAATCGACATAACGCCGAAGTCGTTACTATTCAGCCGAAGAACGGACTTAAGTGCGAGGAATCGAATAAATTACTGGATGAGTCGAATGAACAGCGGCAATCCAGTCCTGGATTAGAAAAACCGGCGTTTTCCAAAGCGAAGGAAGGTAAGAAAATCGAATACTTGATAAATAGATTTCTCATGTAGAAAAATCGTAGTAAAAATATGCAACGTAATGTGTATTATTAGGAATAACCGATATTTATTGTAACTCGTCTTCCAATGAAGTGTGCCAAGCGGTCGACTCAATGACGCGAGTGATCAAAAGTAATTCTGGACAGAGAAATAAGTTCACCGAGGGTTTGGATTTCGCATCAATTGTCGATTGGACGAGTGAGCTGAGGCCGAGCATGAAGAAGTTACGGCAAGCTATGGATGGACTATTAAAAACTGCCAGACTAACACATTCGGTGTTTCGTGTACAGGAAGATTCAAAAGCGGCGCAACGCGCGTGTAACGTTCGCTATAGACGAGATGTTTGCTTCAGTCAAGCAGTAAGTCATCTTCTTGCATTATTTTGCGTACAAAGATATATGAGAAATTCTGAAAATATTGCTGAAAATTTTAGCTAACTGCCTTGGTAACCGGCATAATGGCGAAACTATGGTGCCAACGACCTGATCCAATGTTTCTATTAATACTAACAACTTTGGGACCATTAGTTTCCTTCGAAGGCCTTCTTAGCTATTACGGAGACGAGATAGATATGTGGGGTGACATGGCTGTAGCAGTCGAAGATACACATACCGTCACATTCACTCTGTCCAGATGTGGTATCCAACACAGGTAAAATTTATTTAGCTTTATTTAAATATATTATGATTCTTAATTAAATGACATTTAAAAAAATCTCCATCTGAATATAAATATTACTTTTGCAGAATTGGGGGAAACTCTAACACATTTCAACTTCCTTCACCGCGCGTAGTAGGATCACGGAGTGCATTGACGGTGATACTTCCAGTTCCGGATGCGATTTATTCGCTTTTGCCATTAGTGCCATCCTCCCGACAAACGTTATCGTTCAACGTGACTCCGGTATTTTTCAACATTGGCATCAACGAGATGGCTTCCTTGGCCGAAAGTCTCGGCACTACGAAACCGCAAGAAAAAAGCAATATGGATAACTTTGACAGGCTGAATGAGTATTATTTGAGATTTAAGAAACTGAATCTACCAACGGAACCTACATCCACGCGTTGTAAGTATAAAATTCTAATTATATTCATTATCTTGAAATAATCTTCTTACTGATAGAGAGATTTTAAAATTAATATACTCTTCTAGTTGCTGCTAGATCCATCCTAGGACATACATTGTCGGATATGATGGCCAATTTAAAAATGTGCGTGCAAGAGAAAGTCAACAAGAATGTAGAGATATTGCAATTATCCTCGCAAATATGTCGAAAAATGCGCGGTTTGAGATTCACTAGCTGTAAAAGTGCAAAAGATCGGACCGGTATGTCGATTACTCTTGAACAGGTCAATATACTGTCATCAGAATATCATTTGGCTGAGGATGAATACATGAGAGCCCTCGATTGTATGCGAAGGTAAGTGTAAAAGAAGAAAGATTTGAGAAAATAAGTTTAAAAGATATCTTAAGAGATGAGATTTTGCAAGCATATTTTAAAGATTTATATTATTTTATATCAGTGCTGGATTTACTTGCAACTTTCGGCCAGATTTCTTAGCTTACGCCTACTGTTCCCCTCTTACTGCTCGCTCCTTAGCGACCGCGCCACCGAACGCTCGTAACTAAGGAACGCTCAGGAACGTGCGCGTCACAAATGTTATGTGGCAATCTATCTAAGTTCTCTTTATTGTTTATTAATAATAAAAATAAGTATTCTATTATTAATTACGTATATGTTCTGTAACAATTTAAATATTTGTGTTTTGAAACGTAATTACAATAAGAGAATTTAGATAGATAGATTGCCACATTACATTTGTGACGCACACGTTCCTGAACGCTTCTTAGTTACGAGCGGCGCGAGAGGTAAGAGGGAAACAGTAGGCGTAAGCTAAGAAATTCGGCCGAAAGTTGCAAGTAAATCCCAGCACTGTTTTATATGATTTAAATATTCTCTACATGAAAAATTCGAAAAAGATTGTATAATTTTACTTCTTAATTTCTCCATCAATTAATATAAATATTAATCATATCTATGTGAAAGAATTTCATTCGCAATATCCAAGTAATTGTTTATATCGTAAATAATTTTTTTTTAAATTTGTCTCTTTCATAAAAAATTAAATATATTTTGAATCTCTTTCTTCATATTGTCTGGGAATGTAAATTTTGGATTATTATACGTTTTTCCCTGCTGTTTCAGCGAGGGCTGCCGCCGGGAAAATACGTGGAAGAATATAGGTGTACGTAAGTACGCGTTTAATAGTTTGCAGATTCTGACGTTGCCCAGACTCTATCGACCGCCGACCGGCACGTACGGATCTGCCCAATCTTAAGAAATCCAATTAGCGTCAAGTACGCATGTATTACGTATTGACTCTTTCTGGCTGTGTAATCACGGATTAATTTCCGTAGTATGTGCTAAGTATGTAGTACTTATTAAAAAGTAAGAAATATTGAACGTCGAAATCGCCGTTCAAAAGAAAAATAATTCTTTAGAGAATTTATTGGGGACACGCGACTGGCACACGACTGACATGTGTTAGGCATACGAAATGCAATCAGGGGCGTAGCAATAGAGCGTAGCAAAAAGAAAGTGATGCTTCACGTTAAATTTTTCCTTCCTACGTATTCTAAGATTCAAGTAATTATTAGCTATATAATTATAGCTATATAGAAATTACAAGTTTTGTTGTCGAGCCTAATAACAGTAGCTGTCCCCTTCTCTTGAAAGCGCTCTGTAAGTGCACTATGTAAGTGCATTATTATCTAAATTTGCAACGCAGAGTAAATGCGAATGCAAGTTCAAGTATGCCACAAAAAAGTAAACGGTAAATTACTTAGGTAATACGTATTGTAATGAGATTGGCTGGCATTATGCAGAAAATGAATCGGATTAGAATAAAAACTTTCCTATCGATTTTTTTTCATTCACTTCTTGACTCTTGAGTGATTCTTCCAGTGTCATTAAATAGCAGTTATTTTTTGTTTTTATTTTTTCTACGGTGCAAGTTTTTAATTGTAATCCGATTTACATCATTTATTTCAATCAGCAATTGTTGACGAATTTTTGCAATACAATGCTTCGAATATCATAAATGCTAAACATCCATTTGATGATTTTCATTTCATGAAGAATGATAAATCATTATTATAGCAATTTCTATCTCAGATTAGCATCATTGCACCATGATTGTTAGCGCTTGTCCTATTCGCAAAACATTGGTATTGCAAAAATCTTTATTGCATTTATTGAATCGTGTTTGACGAATTTGTTGAATTGGCGATTATTCGCCTTTAAAAGAATAAATAGCTCGGTGCCATTTTTTTGCCATATAATTCACGAACAAATATCCGATAATATTAATGTCATTCGAAGAAATTTGCGAGTTCGCGTAAATGTTATTTGAGAACAAATAGCGTTGTATTTAACGGGAAAACGCTATTCTTTCTTGCAGAAATCTGCACGTATGTGGAAAAGTGTTCGTTATATCCAACACTTTATTGTACAAAAGATCCAAAACATGAATAGACATATAGTCATTTCCATCAGTCCGATTAAGTTAATCTATTAACACGTTACCGTATCCATAAATATAGACGGTAGATCCCAATTGGATTAGAAATATATTGTTTTCAATAAATTATTAATTTTACTCGATGTTGAATCAACCATTTGTTTTCCATCAATTCCATTTTCAATTAAGTACAGCATAATTAAAAAATCCAAATGTCTCTTTTCTGTATAATATTATATATATGTGTGTGTATGTGTGTGTGTGTGTGTGTGTGTGTTGTGTTGTGTGTGTGTAATATTATACAAAAAAGATATATATATATATATATATATATATATATATATATATATATTTGCGTTTGATTTTTTACACATTACGAATAAAAATGTTTAATTAGCTAATTTTTTAGGTGGCCTTAATTGAACAGAAAATTGACTAATTTTAACTATGATATCTGTAATAGAAATAAAACTTTAAAGATTGCAAGAAACAATTTAAATTTTACGAAGAAAAAAGTTATTCTAGTTTTGGCAAGAAACCTCATCCCATTCGCCAGATGGGCTTATTATCCAGTACCCTGCACTCGCGCGATGCATTTATCATATCACGATCCTATACAACATATCTATTACGATCTCATGCCAGAGCATGAGCGCAACGAAACAGGGTAGGGGTCTCATAGCGAGCGTGTGGGGGTACGGCCGGCCGGCGCGCGAGACAATATATACCTGGGCCTGGTGTTGCCGAACACCTGCTCCACACCGGGTCCTTGCGGACCTTTGTCCAAGAGCCGATATAAAACTCGTACACCGTTTCGGCCACGTCAGTGGACTTTCGACAGGCGACCAGGCGCGCTCGATGAGTCTCTTTGAAAATAGATTGGATTCTTTGGAAATCACGATATAAATCTGTTCTTATTTTAATTAGCAGTGATAAGGTGCGGTGAAAATTTTTCGCTAAAGAAATTCAACATCTCAGATGAGAATTTGAAAATGTGCGAAGATGGTTTAAAAATCATCAAGCTTGGAGATAAAAAAGATCAAATATATATCAAATATCAGATTCCGAAGATTTGTGAATTATAAAATATTCTCTCGAAGATTTATAAATCAAAAATATCGAAGTCTGCTTCTTTGAGGGGAAATATATGAATTGCGAAATATAAAAATTCAAAGATTTTGGAATCGAAGAATTCTTAAGAGAATTGAAGAATTAAGGAATTCAGGAGATGGCGAACGTATTGTGGCTGTTATCAGTGATTATCGCTGCGAACACGCTGATTGCTGGCACGCGCGCGGACGAGGATCTCAACAGTACAATCAAGCTGCTGCAAGAACAAGTTAGCGCATTGCTAGAGCATCGACAGGAAGATTATAACGCTTTGGAGGAAAGTCTGAAGCGATCGATAGAGAAAAACACGGAACTCATCGTCCTTAGAAATGAAGTAAAGCAACTCAGGTGAGATTCAATTTGTCAGCTTTTTTTGCATGTAATCGTAATATGATACATGATATATGAGTATATTGGAAGTCGCCAAGTATATAATTACGGTATCTGTTGACAGTGAGAAGCCTTAGAATTTAATTAAAATTTTTTTACTTTATAAAGATGATTTTTTAACGAATTTTTTGTATAAAATTATTAAAATTATTCATTTTTTAATACTCTAAATCGTTTTTTATATTTACGAATATATATTATTAATAATTTTTATAAAATAATTTAATTATAATAAATGATAAAATAGTAAAATTTATCTGCATTTAAATGAAAATAATTATTATGAGATAATTGATAATAAAATGCTAAATAATATTTAAAACAATTTTTATAATAAAAAAACATGAAAAAGATATTCTAGTTTTTTTTCTATTATTTTCTATTATTCTTGAAAATCGTAACAGTCAGCCTTTATTGGTATGTAAAGAAAAGATATAATGATAAGATATCCTAGAAAGATGCATATTGTAATCGACATATTCCTTCGCACGTGCAGGAAGGAAGTAAACGCTCTTCGTGGCGGAAGCGGCAACGAGGCGAAGAACGAACGATTGAGGGTGAGATGGCTCGGCAGTGCCGTGACAGAGCTGCAGAGTGAGGTCACCGAGGTGCTCAGAGCGCGGAACGCCAGCGAAGAGTTGGCCGAGCGTTCGAGGATGAGGAGCGAATTAGCCCTGTTAAGGGGTGACGTCGCCGAAGTCGGCAGGAATGTACGTGATCTCGGTAGCAGGATCACCAAGATCGAGGCTGATCTTGGTGTCATCAGGCTTGACATTGCTACGAGCAAGAAACACGCCAATTTCTTGTCTAGCTCCTGTGCGGATGTCAGTACTCAGGTAAGTGGTTTCCTTTCGCAAATGTTAAAATAAAATTAATATAAAAAAGAAAAACAAAGTTGGCAGGTGCAGGTAATACTAACTTACTACGCAGCTAAATCGAATCAAGTTATGTGGAACGAAAAGAAATTTACTTGAATATTTTCTTTATTTTGGAGCAATAAATTGATTTTTCAGTTCACACTTGTTTCCTCGCGAAACTAAAACTTTGATCTAAATTTGGAACTTAAATTTGGAATTTTACTTTAATTAGTACATGTTTAATTCAATCACTAAATAAATATTTCAGATAATTATATTCGTTATAAATTAGAGCTTTTATAAATCTCTAAATTTTATTAATATCTAATTTATGAATTAGAGATTTTATTTTCTCTTTAATATACACAAAAATTATGAAAATATCTTATATAAGAGGATATATGTACCTATACAATACATATATGTCTTTCGCCATCGGTAATTCTGTCGGGACTCCTAGATGCGCGCGTGCCACTCAATAGCTATAGCTAATTTTTTTTCGCATACAAGGTCTTGAGATTAATTTCGTGGTGAGGGCATACACATCGAAGGGCTGAAGGGTCCGGCATGTGCTTGCTCGCGCGCCGACAACGCGTCTGTGTAGATAACGGCTGCCGCTACCACTTAGTATTTACGGCAGGAAGAAGAAAGGGGGATGGATGCGTGGTCGGTGCACCTGCGCTTTGCACGGGGCGGCCAGCTGCTAGGTTCCTGTTTCTCGTTTTGCCGCTTGGCAGCTGCTTCTCCTCCTCCTCTACCTTTCCTCTTACCTCGCCCGCGCAACGGGCCTTTGGGCCACACTACCTATGCCCCTTAGGCCTGCGGCTCCCCCAATTCCTCTCTTAAATACTTCCCGCCCCTTACGCTTCGACTTTCTACCATCAGAAGAAGTTAACGTGTATATATATGTATAATATAAAATGTAAGAATAAAATTCACACACACAAGGAATGAGATGTAGTGGGTTATCGGGTAGAGTAGTCGTGTGTTATGAGTCGATAAATTTAAAACTTAATTCATTTCGATTTTCCACAATGAATTACTTTGCAGTGATAAAAATTTATTTATATGTTATATTGTTAGGTTTTTTAAAATACTTTGCTTCTAAATAGAACATTAGTGAGATATACATGTCAATTCAGTTATTAAAAAATATAACACGTAAAAATAATATAATAAAATAATAAAATATAATAATAAATATATAATAATACAAATATAATATAAAATATATGTTAAGTAATATATATAAAAGATAAAAAAATATAACTTGTGAAATTAATTTTCTAATCTTTTTAAGTTTTTTTTATACATGCACGAGAGAATTCAGAAATAATGGTTTTATGTGTGTTTATAAATTGGATCCCACATACGAGTCTTGATCGACGAACCTTAATGCCTGTAGTATTTGACACACGCTGGCGACCGCAGCCACACGAGTCGACAGCTGTGGGCCTACTCTCACGCATTCCATAAATGCATGTGTATTATATATGTATAGGTACACACACTATATCATTAAGGACTGCCTGTAAAAAGTCGGTGGATTAAAAAGAATCAGTAGGAATTTATTGTGGAATGAAAAAGTTTACGAAATTGGAGATTGATAATAATTTTACTAATTGTTTGGATTTAATTATTTATATAAAAAAATTCTGCCGCTATTTTTTAATTATTACATTCATGTTTTCTGATATTGAAATTTTTTAAAACAAAAAAGGCTTTAAAAAATTTCTAAATCAGATAAGAATATTAAGAGTAATTATTAATACTTGTTTTTTATACAAAATATGAACTTATCTTTTTTAGTTGAACACGCTGCAAATAGAGCTGAAGTCCCTGAAAGAGTCTACGCTTCCCGGTCACGATCCACAAAAGTTGGAACATCACGACAAAGCCGATCTCTCCCGCAACGAAGTGAACAGTCTGCATGAAATTACATCGACTCGAAAACGTAATTATTTCCGCACCCTGGCTCATCGCGCTCGCTTCGAAGAACGTTTACGGAACGTCGAAAGGAAGATTTCCGTGGTGGCACGGAAGCGAACGATGATCGAGAAGCGAGTTGTGTACGAGGATCGCGAACATCTTGAAGAACGAGTGAAGAATCTCGAGTTGGCACAGGCGGAACTTTCGAAGAAGATATTCAATGCCAGCCAGGATCTGGTGTCGATGAATGAGCTGGATGAATCGGTCGTGCGATTGTATAACTCGGTACGATTGCTCGAGGAAGCTGTGTACACCAATCGCTCCGAGGTGAAACGAGAGCTGGCGAAATTGGGAATAAACGCGGCACGAAAAGCGGCCGAGCTGTCGCTGACCAGGGAACAGCTTGGTAATCTTCGACGCGCGGTTCAGGCGCTGAGCGTGAGTGCGTCGCAATTGCAAGAGAAAAGTGACGTCCAACGAAAGAGTCTGGACACTCTGAATGAGACCCTCAGCCGATTGGATCTTTCTCGCAATTTGGCCAAGGCGGCGAACGTTACGCATGAATTGGAACAGGTGGAGGATCAATATCGTCTCATGGTAGATTCTCTCCCGGGCAACTGTGAAGAGCGCGATGGTTTAACTCTCTTAGCGCCTGGTCCCGGGACACCTTTACTAGCCTCCTGCCGTGCCGGTTGGATCGTTGTGGCTCGCAGGATCGACGGTGCGGTAGACTTTGATCGCACCTGGAACGAGTACTCGATCGGTTTTGGTTCACCAGTCAGCGAATTCTGGTTAGGCAATGAAGCGTTGCATCGGCTTACCCGTGACAATTGTAGCACGTTACGAGTCGATTTGATCGACACCTATGGCGTGCACTGGTATGCCAAATACGAGCATTTCACAGTCGACTCCGAAGAGACCGGTTATCGGCTCCATGTATCAGGTTATTCAGGCAATGCGACTGATGCACTATCTTATCAGGATGGCATGGCATTCAGCGCCAAGGACCGCGATATGGATATCAGTACCACCGACTGCGCGGCCAACTATCGAGGTGGATGGTGGTTCAGTCATTGCCAACACGCCAATCTCAATGGTAGATATTCTTTGGGTCTAACGTGGTTCCAATCGACCACTAATGAGTGGATGGCGGTCGCATCTTCTGAAATGTCGGTGCAACGAAAACAGAATTGTTGATCCTGAAACATTAAAAGAGTGAAATTATTCTTATCGAATCAATAGAATTAAAGATGATATGGAAAAACTTTAAGAAAATTAAAGATTATTTTGTGCGATTTGAGTTATGCATCTTTTGCAGTCAGTCGACAAGAGAACATTAATTGTAATACCAAAGAATTAAGTATAACTGAAAGACTTGAATAAGACTGTAAATATAATGTACAGTTATATGCACAACAGAGTAAATCCTGTAAACGTGTGAAAAACACATGTTACTTATTATATAAATATTAATAAGAAGCCAATAAAGCCATTAATTTTTGCCTCTAAGTAAAATATGTATATAATCAAGTCAATAAAAGTCAATAATTTCTGCCTCTAATTAAAATATGTATATATATATATATATATATATATATATATATATATATATATATATGGAATACAGCTTAAAAGACAAAATTACATAATGAAAAAGCAATGTCCACATAGAATTAATCAACTGTCACATTATATATCAATTTTTAAAACAGAACTTTTACAACTATTATACACAAGACATATATGCTCATGATATTTGATAGTATATGTGTATGCATTAATTTCAATGCTATTATGTTTCATATTTTACCTGTTTAGCTTTGTCGGTATTAAAGAGGAACGTCAGCTGTTAGAGATGGAACCTTTTAAGTCTAACAAGCTGTTGTATCCCTTTTTCCATATGCAAAATTCGGACTTTATATTTGCGCACAGATGTATTACGCACTGAATATATGTATATTTGAAGAAATAACTCATTACGCAAGAGAAAATATTTTTTCGAGTTACACATAAAAAACATTTGTACATAAAACGAAAAAATATATAATTTTGAATCAGCTATCATTCTGGATTATATCAATCATTATTCTAGATTATATCAACCATATTAATATATAGAGAATATTAAATTATTAATCAGGTATATTTTAATGTATCACTTATGTCAAATCATTATTGCAACTACGACTTTGAGAATCGAGTGCATGTCGTGATTTGCATTTCTTTTCGTGCGCAAACAGGCTGCCAGAGTTGCGATAAGCGGAACCGCACAGTTTGCAAATGTACGGCTTTTCTCCGGTATGCGTAAAGGTATGGTCTTTCAGATATTTGTATCGGACGAAGGACTTGCCGCAAATATCGCAATGATAATTCGCTTCACCCGTGTGAGTCCTTAAATGATACTTCAGCCCGTTCGATGATGCGAAGGCAGTGCTACAGATGTGGCAGACAAAGTGCTTATCGCCTGTATGAATCTTCTCGTGCCTCTTCTTGTAACTCGGAATAGCGAAGCTCTTGCCACAGAATTGACAAGTGTGCGGTTTAATACCGTAATGCGATTTAAGATGCAATCGTAATCCGGACATCGAGGCGAAGGTTTTACTGCAAACATCGCAGAGATACTGCTTTTTATTGTCACTTGACAGTTCATCGCAGCAAACATTTGTATCAAGTGTAACACGTTCGTTTAAGGACGTTTCTCGGATCTTAAAACCAAGATCGCTTCCATCATTATCATCAGGTTCTGAGTTTGCTGTCTCTACGTTAAGTATATTTTGAGATAATGTAGTAGTGTATGTTTCTGAACTTATAGCAATTTCTGAATACGTCCTTAAAGATTTCTTTGTACATCTTAAGAATCTGCTGGCGTATTTACATTTTCTTTCTTTCGGCTTTTGTCCTTTTTCTTTCAGTGATATGATTTCCTTGACCTAAATATATAAGCATTCTAAATTTAATTGAAAAATCAGAGATTTTATCTCTCAGCGAATAGTACTTCCTTCACTTACCTGGTCATTCTTTTCGTAATATTCATGCAGCTTATTGTTGGAGTTTTTACAAAGATTTACAAACTCATGAGCGTCTCGTAATCTGATATTGCATTTACAGCATATGAACTTGGGTAAGTCATCATCTTGCAATATCTAATAGAGAAAAATAGCTATTGTAATGGTATTGTAATGATAATCTTTTCTAGAACTTTATTTTGGCATGAATACAATGGACAATTACTCACGATGATAGAACACAAATCCTTGATCTGTAACCTCAGTCGTTGGCATTCGTTATCCTCGTTGACATCGTCACAAAATAAAGGTATCACCTCGCATTGTTCCGATTGAAGACACAATCTGCATACTTTTTGCATACTGTCTTACTCATAAAATCTCAGAATACAAGTGGAATTTTTCTATTCTTTCGAATATTGATACGATCAGAGAGCAGTCCTGCATCAATTGCCAGTCTTTTATGTTTAGATTAAGATTAAATTTTTAAATTATATTCGTCGAAGAGAACTCTAACGAAAAATTGTCATTCGACAAATGTAAAGTGTTTATATAAAATAACGAAAACATTTAAAATTTATTGCTTCGTTGAAGATGTAATGCTACACGACATATTATCAGTTTGAAGGTTAGAAAATAATGTATACTGATTGTATTACATAGCATATTATAAAAAATATTATAAAATTAATAATAAGATTATTTACATGCTAAAAATTTAACATAGAATTAAAAAAAATATACAGGTTATATTATTACAAAATTGTTTATAATAGGATTTCTTAAATGTGTACATACATTGCCATGTTTATAAATTTATATATATCACAATTATGTATCACAATTTTCACTTATAAAATTAATTTATAAAATGTGATTTTTCACACAATTTATAGAAAAATATATCAGTAATATATATATAAATGGTTATTTTTATAGTTATATTATAAGTTTAGAATATTCCTAGTAAATGATTAGTACATTATATATCGTATATATTAGTATATATTAGTATTATATTAGCATATATTAGGGTATAAATATATTAATATATAAATATTCTTTCATATAGATGTGTCTAAAAGAAGTGTATATTGTTTCCACAAAAGTAACACTCATATATATATATTATTTTTTTTTTTTTTCAAAAACACCGATATCTAAAAAAAAATATATTAAAAATCTAGATTAAATCTCTCTTTTGCTCTCTCATAGTATACCTGATCCATGGGTGTTTCTTTTTTCCAAAATTTGATGATTTCAAAAACATGCCAGTCACATGATACTATTGTATGCATGATCTATTTCACGCACAGTATCTTTTAAAATTTCAGTTAAAGCTTTTTCATCATTTATTATTGATTTATCAGCTATTAAAGATAGATTTAAATTGCCTCCATAACTAATCAGAGAAAAACCGAGAGCAGTTGCACCCCTGAAAATAAATTGATAGATCATATTTTATAATTGTAGATCATATTTTATAATTATTATAATTTTTCATTTTTATTTATTATAATAAAAAAAACAGAATAATGAGATGCAATACTTGTTTGGTAGCCAGAAAGTAAGATTGCTTGCTAAGTAATTATTGAGAGTATGAATCTTTTCTGGTCCATATATATTACTGAACACCATAGTGCTTTGACTTAATAGAAGAAGTTTCAAAATTTTTGCCGGCAATATGGCGAGTACATATTTCATGACCCAAAAATTAATTAATATGTTCGGGCATTTTCTGAATTCATTATTTGCTTTTGTAATATCCTGAAGACGTTTAAAAAATTGAGAATCTTTATTTGGCTCGTTGATCTTCTGTCTATTCATCTTGGAAATGCAAATTCGTAGACGAGCAACTGAAAAATTATTATCGAACGTTATATCTTCATCAGGCATCGTCATTCTTATCGGCAAAACGGTTGTTAATGAATCGGGTGCTGGTCTATTAATCTGCAAGGCAGAAACATTACATGTACGATAAAGAAAAAAATATAGTCTATTAATCTAATTGTGCAAAGACGTCAATTTTTCAAGTATAATTTTAGGCGTATTTAAATATTTTTTGGACTTGTGTTATTTACTTTAAAAACATATATTTACCCGTAAGTGATATCTTTGTACACTAGCAGAAAAAGCTGTTAATATTACATCTTCAAATGTGACACTTGTTTTTTTTTTTATTTCACGAACCTTCATTAAAAGCTTCTGTGATTTGTCATTAGCATCGTCTAACCAGTAGGATATGATCTTTTCACCTGTTAGTGATGGACCATGTAGAGAGCTATAATATATATTTATTTAATATATATTATTAGAATAAAACTTATTTTGTGAAACTTATTTTATTCTAGATATATAAAATTTATTTTATTAGATAAATTAAAAATTTTATATTGATAAAATTTGATTGAGAAACTTTATCATATAAAATTATCTTAATTTTTTAAGAAATCGGAAATGTTTATTTTAGCTTATCTTTATTCATAGAATAATCAGATATATATATATATATATATATATATATATATATATATATATATATACACACGTACTTTTCGTCTATACTACAAGCCTGTTCAATCATGCATTTTGGAGTCAAAAGGATGATCAGTGTAAAATGCATGATTTCTTTAATTTTTTCGTACACTTGTTTCAGGCAGATATCTTTGAAATTCAACCTATGATTGATCAATATTTTCGTTTGCCGTTTTATAGAATCGATCGTTATGGTCTTAGAGTATTTCAATAACGCAAGAAAGTGGCTTCGTAAATTTTTCATAACTTGTGCCAGTGTTGTAAAAAATATAGATGCGGCGAAAATATTCTTTTTATAGGATCGTACAATTTTCTCATTCAAATTTTTTGTCTCATTCGGGAGATTTTTTTCTGAATTACGCAACGGTGAAACAAACTCTTTGACATTTATTTCATTCGCATTAATCATATTTTCGATTTCTACTTTCGTCTTGTGATCAAAGATCCTTTCGAACCATAATTTTAGGAGAGTTATTCCATCGCCCAGAGAATGATGGATGCGAATTATTAAAGGAATCTTGCAAGTATCGGTGTCAAAGCATTCTTCGGAAGCCGAATGATCGTCGATGCGAGATCTACCTCTTGAACAACGTTTACCGACCAGAATCTCCCAAGCGGCTGTGTGATCATCGGGCAATGTTTTATTGCATATGCTTCCTAAATTCTTCCTAAAGAATTCACTAGATACATCCTCACAAGATCCATCGCAATCAGCGTTCTCGCATTCCAACCATCTGATCCTATTATTCAGATCGATCTCCTCTTCATTTCGCTCCCAAAAGTAGTAACCAAACTTTTGTCTTCGACGATAAAATAACTTTTCAAATATCGTACCAGTAGTCTTTGAAACTATGCGATCATGTATTAGGTTCTTCAAACCTTCCAGAAAAATCACGTTTGAGTTTTGCTTAGGTTTTTCTATTATTATTAAAATATTAAGAACGGACAAACAAACAGCATCTTCACTAGCCCATACACAATCTGTGCCTTTCAAAAAACCAACAAACTTATCCTTCAATTGTATTCTTAAAATGATTTCGATCAGACAACGATAAATATATAAGAAGTTCAGAATGATAAGGGTCAATGGACTAAATAGATAAGCAAGAATAATTGCTACAATTGCAAACAATTGCTGTAATTTATGACGTCTGAATCCATTGAAAAAGACTGAATTTTCGAATTGCATTCTGTTTACGATTTTAAATCTTTTATTAATTTTAAACTTAAATTGATTAATTTCTATTTAAATTGATCAATTAACTTTTAATCGATTTCATCCATTAAAATGAAATAAAATATTTCTAATTTGATTTGTGATCAAATTGCACCGTTATCTGAAAAAAATATTTTGAAAGATATATTAAAAAAAATAATAAGTATATATACATGTGTGTGTGTGTGTGTGTGTGTGTACACAACTGTTTAAAAAAAGTCGAGATCTTTTAACATTTCGAAAAAAAACGCATTTTCGAAAAAAAATATTTTACACGGAAATTGTAGTTTCAAATAGAGCATTATATTCATAATAGTATTATTTTGAATAACACTGTGAAAATCATATAAAGCTCATCTTGAAATTTTTTAAAAGAATCTTCCATTTTTTAATACATATTCTTATAGCTTTTCTTGTGAATAAAATACCTTTCTTTTATCTTTCTTTTACTTTTCGAATTATGAGACTTGAAATAATTTTTTAATTTTATATAAAACTATATAAAATATTTTGTAAAATATTTTTCTGTAAAATATTTTTATGTAAAATATTCAATTTTTTATTACTTTCAATACTTAATAACAGATATTATTTATGCACAAAATAAGAGAGGAATCAATTGATATAAAAAAAACACATATAGTTGTTTGTAAGAAGTCTTTTGAAAAGCTCTTTAATAAGAAAATGTAATAAAAATGGGAAGGGTTCTATTTGAAAATTTCAATCTGTATGATCTTTACAAAATCTTGACAACGTTATTCAAGGTACTAATATTACTATATAATAAGCTATTTGAAACCCTTCAATTTTTATAATGGAACATTTTTTCGAAAATACGTATTTTTCGAAATATATATATATATATATATATATATATATATATATATATATATATCTGCAAAGTGTTCAAAAAAGATATCTTAATATTTCGAAAAAATGTTCCATTATAAAAATTGAAGGGTTTCAAATAGCTTATTATATAGTAATATTGGTACCTTGAATAACGTTGTCAAGATTATGTAAAGATCATACAGATTCAAATTTTATAATATGTATGTATGTATGTATTTGCAAAGTAAACATCAGCTAATAATTATATAATTGTTAGTTATAATTTCCAATGTTACACGTAATATATGTAATAACTGTTACATATAATATGTGTAAATACTGTTACATGAAATTATAACGAACATTTAAATAATTGGGTACATATGTATAATTTTCAAACTACATTCTTTAAATTTAATTGAGTTATCCATAATTTACAGGAAAAACTTATTACTTACTGTTAACAGTATGTACGACCGAGCAAAAGTATTATTCATATAGAGAAGCCACAAATTTTTCACCTGCTTTCGCAATGAGATTGTAACTAAATCCCTTAATTGTCTTACATGTTTTTACTGATATAAATGTGATGAAATCTTATTTAAGTCACTGAGACGAAATATACTATCTATTGAAGAGTATGTTCGAGGAGCACACCTTTAAGCGATTTTCCGAATATAACTGAGGACGCTCTTAGCTTAAAATAATGTTGCAGTAAGTGAAAAACAATGCTAAGTCCGAGACCTAAGAAAAGACTGCGTAGCGACATGTATACATAACAAAAATGCCTGAATCAATCGTATCGTGTAACCTTTGATAGCAGAGAGGACACCTATACTGTTTCATTCAACTAATAGTCTAATTCTTATCAACCAATATTATAGTTCTTATCAAGCCAGTAGTTAAAATAATAGGCGATATTATTTTATTTTATATATGCATATACATTGATAACGTGTGTTCGTTTAATATTTAAAGACTTATTTTACAAATAAAGTTTTATTTTTTTAATAATTTTTAATAATTTTTCCATATGTGTGATAATCTTGAATTTTAACTCGCTCACACTAACTAATTCACATTTTAACTTAGGGTTCATTTGTTAAGATCCAGCATTTGCTGCAGATTTTTTCATTATTTTCATCAGAATTAACGATTTTTCCTGCCAGGTTGAGCAATTTCTGCTGCAAAGTATTGATCTACAATAAACATATTTGTTTAAAGCATTCGTCGAATATATTTTAATAAAATATCATATTTGCACGAATTACGAAATCATTAAACGCAATGTAATATACAATAAAAATTTATTTAATTCAATATAAATTATATAAACGCAAACATAATACGTGATAAAAACTTATTTAATTCACTATAAATTATATTATGTATAATATATAAAGTACCTTAAAAAACGCCCATTAAATACATAGTTATTCCTGATCAAAAATTAAGTTGAAAAGTCCTATGTTTTCTATAATGCTTAATAAAGTAATTATGGAGTAAAGTTAGATCAATCAGTACTGATTTTTAACCGAGCACACATCATTATGGTATACATCCAGCTAAAAAAATGATGCTGATTGATGCCACTTTACTTCATAATTATTGCTTTATTAAGCATTATAGAAAAAATAGTATAAGACTTCAATTCGATTTTTGATCAGAAATAACACTATATATTTAATGAGCGCCTTTTAAAATACACCCTGTATATTACGAGAAGAAATGAGATTTTACTCTTTGACATCTTATATGCATTATTATACTTGCAAATATGTTTGTAATGACGTACAAAGAAATCATAAACAAATTTAACATGTAAACCTATTTCTTTTTCATTTTGTAATTCATAGCGTTTATAATAACATACAAGAAAAACACAAACAAATTTAACACACAAACCTGTTTCTGCTTTTTTTTCATTTTGTAATTCATAGTGTTAATTTGCTCCTTCAAACATTCGTTTTGCGATAACAAAGCGTCATATCTAAAATACATGCAATAACAAAGTGTCGTATAAAATGTATAAATATGTAGCATAATATGTGTGTGAATATTTAGCAATGAGATACAAAGGCAAATAATATATTAAGATACGAAAGAGATTACTTTTGGTGCCATGTTCTCTGTACTTGTCTCTTTAAAGCTTCCGGCAATATATCAACAGAATCAAGTTGAATATCCGTAACACTTTGTCGAAATAAATCTAAAAAGTAAATTTTTTTTTCGTATAAAACAGTAAAAAAAATCAGGCAGAAGTTTACTTACTTAACATTTGCTCATTTTGTATTTTAGCTTTTCTTAAATTATCCGTTAAAATTCTATCGCGAGATTTTAAAGTAGAATACCGTAGGAAACGGACAGCTTCTAAATTCCGCGAATATTTTAAACTCATTTCTAATTTTCGAGCGATATCACGTATTTTATTAATTGTTGCGATATATTTTTCATCGAGGTTTTTTACACGTGTGGTATTTAACATTTGTCAATTGTAATCTCGAATGTATCCTCTTGAAAATCTCGAAATGTAGAGTTAAACATTAACATGCTTCTGTTTCTTGATTCGGTCGGTTGTCAACCGTTATTTTATTTACAAAAATGCTGGTATTGTCTGATATCTAACAGGAAAGTTTGTTTTATAAAACAATTTTAATAAAAAATAATTTTAGGAGATTGCACAATTTTAAGAAAAAGATAGTCATATCGTAGTCATATCCATCTTAAGGAGATGTAACTGCACAGATTGAAAGTGGCAATGAAAAATGTTCCGTGTAGGGCCAGATTTGCTGAATGTAAATTACAACATTTTGTCGCCATCTTGAAATTGTATGTAAATGACAGATGGTGACATAAAAAGATTAAAAATTATTACTGTTAAAAATTATTTATACTAATATTTGGATAATTACACTTAGAAAATATACTTATTCTAATTATTAACATCATAAAAGATATTGCATGACTAAATTTATATTAATATATTTAACATGTTAATGGATTATAAAAATTAAAAGTTTTGCTAAAGTTAATGCTAAAGGAAATATTATAATTTTTTTTCAAAATCGTATAAATCATATAAATTACAAAAATAAAATTTAGAATATATTTACATTAAAATGTATTATCAAGATTTGATACACAAATTCTATACACTTAATACAATTAATAAAAACGACGTGACACAATTCAAAATGTGACTACACATATACAAATAACACATAAACAATATTCAAGATAGAGATGAAATGTAAATTATTCCATTCAGTGAACCTGGTCCTACACGAGACATTTTTAATCATCAACTTTTGTCTCTCTACATTATGAAGTTAAGTCTCCTTACTCTTACTTCATGGTCATATCTTTGTTGTGATTTTCTCATAATTTTTTGGCTAATGAAGAAAATTCGCTTAAAATTAAAATTAAAATATTTCCCAAAAATATTGTTCAAAAAGTATTTCGAGATACTATTCAAGAAAAATTCTATATAATTATTGTATAATTAATAAAAATTATATAATTACGATGTTTTATCGACAATATTTTTTTTTTAATAAGAATCGATATTTTTTTTTAATAAGAGAACTTTAAAGAGAAAAATCTTATATGAAAACATAAAAAGCAGAAATTATGAAGTAAAAAAAGTGAGAGAGAGAAAAAGAGAGATGTATATATAAAGTTAAAATAATATGAGAGAAATAGTTAAAATAGTATTAGAGAGGAGAGTAATTCTACATAATATAAATACAAAAACTTTGAAAATATTTAAATTGCAATAGTTTAAGTTACAAATGATTTAAATTAACTAATAGTGGGCAGTAAAATTTGCATCTAGGCATATAGTGATCTGCTATCTTATTGATTTTTTCAATGTGATATTGGTTTTTATTATAGATAATTTTATTTTCCTTTTTTTTCATCTAAATACTATGTATGTATTAGTTATCAATTATATCTTTATAATAAATATTAATATTTGAAAAGATAAATAGTACATGGAATGTTATGTTCTAATCTAGTTGAAATGACAATAGAAAGAATAAGATACATGAGAGAATAGTTTTGGTGATATCGTTAATCTACTATATTTCATATGTGAAAAGTTTTAAATAATACGAAGCTTCCATCATCAAATGCGTTGTGTTCTATATAACTTTATAATTTAACTCTGCAGCCTTAATTTTCTGAATATTTCTATTCAGTATACACATCTTTAGATATTAAATATATCTTTCAACAATAAGTACTATATAAGTTGCATATAAATGGAGATATTCACACATTATATACGAAAATAAAAACGTACATTACAGATTTTTATAGTACAAATATAAAAAGCATTGAAAGTTCTTGAACATGTTAATGTAATATAACATTATTTCGTTATTGGACATGGTTCTGAAATATATTGTTTAAAACTTTGATGTACATTTTTTAAATAATCTCGCGATCGATCTCTGGTGTCTTCCAATATATTAAGTAATGCTTCTCTAGTCTTGTTTGTTAAGGCCTCATTAAATCGTTCCATAAGTGCCATGTCTATTTGTGGAACACCATCCAGATCTTCGGTAATTTCCCTCACCGTCATCACATCAACAATTAAAGATTCTAAATCAGAATCTTTTGATTGTCTGTAAATTATTCTTTCATATGAATATTGAGGAATATGAAATTTTAATGAAATATAAAACTTTAAAACATATTTGTTTTATATTTATATTTTATAATTAAATAATATATTTAAATAATACTATATGTACTATAAAAATTGTTATATTTTGCAAAAATTTCAAGTCTTAAACTTCATTAATATTTGAATATATTGATTTCGCATGCAAATATGTAATATTTTATGATATTAATCTTATTATATTGGTACAAGTTACATATGTGATACACTTACAATTTACTTAATTCCTTAGCAAGAGACTCTGAACAGATTTTATACAATTCCAAACATTCCAGACTACTTTGAAGATTGCGTTGCTGGAGGTATCTTTCAAAAATTTGTCTACCCTTTGGATGAGATAAAGTCTTATTTATATTATCTGTAATTTGATCTAATTCTTCAGCTGTCAAACCAGTTGTACACTTTCCAATACAGCCAATTGTTCGGACTGACAATGAAGCCTGCATGTTTCATCACAGTACGAAGAAAATTGTAGATCAATTTTTTCTTAAATTTTTTTTTTTTTTAAGATTAAAAAATCCTGCAAATAAGTAATTGTTTAGATTAAATTACATTTTGTTTAGATTTAATTACAATTTTTATAATTTTATCGAATCAAAAATAAGAATAAAGAATGATAAAAGATAATAAAAAAGAAAAAAATATATGTATACATCTTATAATTTAACAGCTTACATATATAATTATTGTTTTCATATTCAATGACATAATAATCTTCCCATACAATAAGCCATTTAATCAACATTGATATGATTCAAAAACATGTGTTTTCGGCCAATCAGCTGTTAATTTTCAATACCAAGCGTAAATCATCCATGAAGTAAGAGAGGAGATCGAACTTGGGGTACGTTCCAAAACGTACTCTCTGAGGAAAATTTTATTCGATAGCCGTTCCGAAACTCTTTTAAGCGTTTCCAATTGGTTCAAATCAGCCATCGAGTAAAATTTTCTTCCTTTTCTTTCTTTGAGCTTCACCCTCGCAGCAATACACTCTGTCCTGTATTTCTTAAGCTGGATCTACATTGGTCGTATAGTAAGGCCGGGTTTACAATAAGTAATTTAAGCTTAAGCCTTAAGAAATTGACCAATCACAGTCGAGTATTCTCTTAATACTTGACTAGAGAACCTCTAGGAGAGAGAATGGACAACTGAACAAGCTTTTTCATGATTGGCTGGCAGAAAATGTATCAATTTTAGCTATTGCGACGTCAATGCAAAATATGATACACACAAATAGGTTAATATATGTGTGTCATGTGTGTCCTATTTGTGTGTCATCATATTTTGCATTGGCGTCGCAATAGCTAAAATTGATACATTTTCTGCCAGCCAATCATGAAAAAGCTTGATCACATGTCACATGATCAGTTGTCCATTCTCTCTCCTAGAGGTTCTCTATACTTGACCTTACATCCATGCAAGTCGAACATACCAATACCATCAGTTTGAATCATATGATCTATGGTTGATGCTGCGTTTCATATGTCAATCTGTAAATTAGCCCAAATGGTCCAGTAATCTCCAAAGATTATCAACAGGCATGGTTTATCTTTATGTTAAGTGCGATGTAGCGAGATTTTAATATCTACAACTTCATGCATTTTTTTAAGACGACTCATCATGTCGGGGACCAAGGTAGAAATATTTTTCAAGATGCTATATTTAATAACAGTGGTCAAATAAATGATACAAGAATATATATGATCTCTATTATTTTCTACGCTTTTTTTGTATTTAATAAGTATTTTTTAAAAATGTGATAATGTTTTGTTGTTATTTCAGAGTGAAGACAGTAAAACTGATAATTTAAACAGACAAGGTTCCTTTAGGAAGCTTGTGCCAGGAAGTAGTAATGGAGAATCTTCATTGAGCATGTCTGTAAAAATGATAGATAGACCGATTGTCTCGCAAACTAATAAGCAACATGCTGTTTTCTTACAGGAATATAATATTATTTCAGAATAGTGCGTATATAGTAGTACTATAATATGTGTATTGTAAAAATAACAAACTTATATATTTTTTTTTTCCAGTAAGATGTTATGTTCTCAAGATTTAAAGGGGACTTATATAATACCATCTGCATTAAATTCTTTTTGTAAGTACTACTTAATTAGCAACAAGTTATATTTAGTACATTCATAATTTAGTATGTGTTTTCTATGATAATCCTGATTAACAATATTATTGCTTGGGAATAAGAACAGCTAGTCTATGATTCACAAAAAGACAAAGAAAAAGAGTAAATATTCTATATTCTTTTCTTTTTAGTCCATATTTGAAATTTTTTTTTATTGAAACGTTAGTGTGTTTTTGATGAGTATAAACCTATTTTATAGGTCTTGCTCATCCTGATTACAACTTGTATAATGGTTCTGATGTAAATATAATCATATCTTTTGCCTATTTCACTTTAATGTCGTTAAGATGACTATTATAAAATGTTCTAATATATATGTTATTTTTAAACACATTTTGCTACAGTATGGTTTGGTGTACAATTCGTTCGTCAAGGGATGTACAAAGGCGGGGTTTTCAGATTCACTATTACATTGCCTCCAAACTTTCCGCTTGGAGATTGTCCTGTAAGAATACCAAGTTGCAAATAATCTTATATATATATATATGTATGTCTTATAGTTTTCATACCAGATATATATTTTAGAAAATTGTGTTTGAAACTCAAGTTTTCCATCCATTGATAAATCCAGAAAATGGAGAATTGTGCACATCGTGGGGATTCCCTGAATGGAGAAGAAATAACAGAATTTGGCAATTGATACAATATATTACAAAAATATTTATTAAACTAGATACAAAAATGACTCCAATTAATCAGGAAGCATCTAGTTTGTAAGTATAATTGTTATTTGCTTTACATGTAAAAGATATATTTAAAACAAAATCGTGAAAAGAATATGTCATCCAGAAATTGGTAATATTGTAGACAAGAAAGTAATCTTGAGGCTTTCCGAGAACGTGTGAAAGCTTGTGTGAAGACAAGTGTAAATCAAGTATTTGATCCATCTACCATAGATGATCCACATTATATTACATTTACTCGATATGTGAATGAAGTGCATGATCCCATTAAACGGGAAATTTATGAACCAAAGGTAAATACATATTTGTAAATCACTCATCATGATAAAACATTAAATTTAAATTTTCTCTATTATATCTTATAGAGCGAAGATGAAAATAAGCCATTAGGTTTGTCATGGGTACAACCTGGTTCTCTTCAACCGTTTTCAAAACCAGAAGCTAGATAATAAAGGAGTTTAAAATTCAAATTTTGACAAATAGTGAAACAATGTACATCCTTAAAAGTTATATAAGGAAATTATTGCTCTCTTGGCAATCATTATATATAGATACAAATATATTAATATTTTTCTATTCAGAGATTATATATATATATGCCTTAAAATTTTATATGACTGTGTTAAGTCACTGCTGTATAGAACAAATTAAAATATATACTCTTGTAGTTTTTAATAAAAAAAGATTAATATATATTTGTGTTTAAATATGAATATACATTAAGAGTGTCTAAATTATTTAAGATTGAGAGCGCCTAATTAATTTAACATTGATTGTAATATACATATATTTTTTTAAAATCATTAATATAAGAAATTAGGAAAGAAAGAGAAAAAGTGAAATATCGTAGAGTAAAAAACTTTTTCAAATTGAGCGCCACTTTACGCTTCTTTTGTGACGTTCCAGGTTTAATCCCCTCCTCTTTTTACGTCGTCATAGGAATCCGGTTTTACGTAGCTAACAAATCGCTTGAAACAGCTCGAAATCGCCAAGAAGAGAGATAACGTATGTACATCTCGCGACAAAAATCTGTGGAATTTACGTTATTAATGCAGTAATTTCGCAATTCCAATTGTGAAAACGGACTCGTGCAAATCGGTACTTTTCTACCGGCACACGCCCGAAGCCGCTTCCGCTGCGCCACCCGGGAGTTTATTTTATGAGTTGCAGCGGTTTTAACCTTTAATGACAGCCCCACAGATTCAGGTAATTATTTCATTGCGTCTTCATTACGCGCGATGAGCAAAAAATATCATGTACGAGAGTCGATTCTCGCTCTAAGTTCACATTCGGAATAAAAAAAGTCGCGAAAGTATTTTAATGTCCTATAGCTAAAGAATCTTGAGCAGCATGTCGCCCTATCCTTATTGCAAAGAGATATATACCTATAAATTAAATTCAAATTAAAGACGGAATACGATGAGAAAATGATCATCGTGCCGGCCAATATTATGATGATGTTATCGCTTAAGTAACATTTTACTGATAATATTTCTCTTGTATTTATGACATCATGTGAATGTAATATTATGGCTGATAAAATTATTATGCAATATTACAAAGCAGACTGCTCAATTAAATAATATAACACATTGTATTCTAATGTTGATTTGAGTTTAATCAAGGTCGAGTGTAAGATTTGCTTTATTTATGTATAAGTGTTTAGAATAATTGTAACTCTTAGGCCCAGTTGCACCAATATTATTTTAGTTTTAAGGGAAACTTAAATATATGTCTGTCTTTATTTATTTAGAAAGAAATATAAAGATAGACATATATTTAAGTCTCGCTTAAAGCTAAAATAACATTGGTGCAACCAGGCCTTAATTATATATAAATATATATAATGTTTCAGATTGCATAAAGAGCATTAAAATGCAGACGATAAAGTGTGTTGTGGTAGGTGATGGAGCGGTTGGTAAAACATGTCTCTTGATTTCTTATACCACAAATAAGTTTCCTTCCGAATATGTGCCTACTGTTTTTGACAATTATGCGGTAACTGTGATGATAGGAGGTGATCCATATACATTAGGATTATTTGATACAGCAGGTAAGAAATTTGTTTTCTTTTGGATTATTTCTCTAAAGATAATTTGCTAAAGCTTGTTTTGTAATCTAATTCAAACTTTTTGTTTCTTAGGTCAGGAAGATTATGATAGATTGCGTCCCTTAAGTTATCCTCAGACCGATGTATTTCTAGTATGTTTTTCAGTTGTATCACCGTCATCGTTCGAAAATGTAAAAGAAAAGGTACATCTATTATCATCTATTATTATTCATTATTTCTACATCTTAATGATTTTAATTCAAATTCTAATGTGATAATATATTTTTTTGCAGTGGGTGCCTGAAATAACGCATCATTGTCAAAGAACCCCATTTCTACTTGTCGGAACACAAATTGATTTGAGAGATGATGTTGCAACAACAGAGAAGCTCGCAAAAAATAAGCAGAAGCCAATATCTGGGGAACAGGGCGAGAAACTTGCCAAGGAGCTCAAGGCTGTAAAATATGTAGAGTGCAGTGCTCTAACACAGGTAAAAGAAAATTAATATTTTATAGTTTTATTAAAAATATTTTATTGTTAAAATATTATTTAAGAAAAAGTAAGGACAACTGTTGTTCAAAATTTTTTCAACTCGATATTGGATTTCATTTTTTTAAAGGTGGTTTTTACAGGTTTTTATTTTTTCATTTTTTGTAATAAATAAATTGTTTTAGAGAAAATAACCGGTCAAATAAGTTTTTCTTTATAAGAGTAAAAATTAAAACTTTTGTAAAAGTGAAAAATGGTAACTTGGATTATACTTGTATATTTCTCATTTAGAAACTTGTATATTTGTAATCTACGTATTATAAACTTTATTTTAAGCCTTTATTTTAAAAATAAAGTTTAATCTTGAATTGGAAAAAGTTTGAACAATAAGCCTATAGGCATTCTTCACAAGACCTTTTTCTCACTTAAATTTTAGAAAGATATAATTTTTTTCATAAACATTTATATCTCTTTAACTAAAATGAAAAAATATTTATATTAGATTCTATAAATTATATTAATAATATTTAATAAATTACTCTTTATGTAACATATTTTTTTTGACATGCTAGAAAGGTTTGAAGAATGTATTCGACGAAGCTATTTTGGCTGCATTGGAACCGCCCGAACCAGTGAAGAAAAGAAAGTGTACGCTTCTGTAAATCGACGAAGAATTATTATTGAAGGAACGCATGCCGAACATCAAAATAACGCTACGTAGTACCAGACAACAGTCTTGTATGTAGTATATTGTATTAAATATAACTAAATTTGCCTCTACTTTATAATCCGAGGGAAGAAAAAGCAATCGCGCAAGAGTCAGCTACGATAGCGACTGCAACATTCCATGAGGCGTGCTACAACGACTCTGAATTTGTAAGGTTAGAGAAAATTTTTCTATCAAACAATGGCTATCTTTTTGAGATAACTTGTTGCACAAACCTTTCATTTTTCCAATACAATTTTCTAGGCGGCGCGAAATTTTGAAGCGCATCTGAGAATTTTCTGAGATAGAAGTTCTGAAACTGTTCTAAAATTATTGATTTTTAACATTTATATTGAATAGGATAGAGGTGGAGAAACAGAAAGATTGGTGCTATTGTTCAATAATATTTTTTTAAATCGAAATGTTTACCAAGATATATATAAATATCTCTGAGTCGTCGATATCCAATAGAGTACTCATTTGGATTAATAAGGTATTCAAGCATCTTTCACTAAAATGATGATTGTTTCTTTCGATAAGTACTAAAATAAAATTTTCGACGATGTCAGTATTAGGAATTCTATGGTGAATGTATGAAATGACAAATATATATTATAGCAATATCATTATGTAGGTATATTATCGAGTGCATATAACAAAAAGATTATTATTATTTCTAACAATTAATCTATATGAAATATCATTGTTGAATATTAAAGGTTTTTGCAAAACTATCTTTACGTGCGCGATAAATTAATTTGATTATTGACATAATTTTATGATAAAAAATTTGTCATATAATAAATATATAATTACTTTCCTACCATTTATTCTTCGTCTAAAGTATAGCAGCGTGTGGGCAAAAGCTTTTTAATATCGATAATGAAATTTCAGATCTTTAAAAAATATACATGATACCTTAATTAAGGAAAGCTTTTAAGAAAATCGACCAATTTTTTCATGCATTTTTGAGTGCCGTTTATTAGATAGCAAAATATTTTCAACGAATTTACTACTTAATAAAAAGAATTGAGTCTTTAAATCTTTTTCTTAAACATTTATGATTCTCACAATTATATACATGAAATTTTATTAACTATCATGATGCTGCATGCAATGAATTATATCGATTCACAATGTCAATGGCACGCGACTAATTTTTCATTGAGCTCAATTGTCGCATATCGCTAGTACTAATAATACATGAATGTCGCGTTGCAATATAGGGATATTGTGAGAGAAAGCATTTCATCAAAAAGATTGAATCAACTTTTACACTAAGAATCCAGTTAAAAAGCATTTATTAGCACTGTACGTGTCATGATATAGACACAATCATGTAATGAAATATTCACATAAATATATTTATACTATGTATATGATGTTCGCGCGTTTATGTTTTTATTTGTTAACTTGTTTATAATTCTTTCATATATTAATATCCTTGTTATCTTTAATTCCTTGAAATTTAATATCATAATCATAATAGATAAATAATTATTTTAAAATATATTGAACATTGATGCTTTGATGCTTGAGATATATGATTTACTTATATAGGGCATTTATTAATAATAATTCAAGTTTTTTAACAAAATTTTCATTACACATATACATATATGATGTACAATAAAATGGAAATGAAATTAATATAATATATATTTATATAATTATAAGATATATATAAATTATATATATTTATATATAATTTATATATAATTTTTATATATAATATATAAAAGTACTATACTATACAATATACTTATTATTGTATAATTTTACGCAATATATGTATATCCTTATAATTTATTTTTTATTTCAAAAAATATTTTATAATAAGTTTATAATAACAAATTGGTTGTCATTTTGCTTGTTTTTCAGAACATACTATTGTTTCTTTTTTTTTTTTTCTTAACAAAGAGATACGATATAAGTATAATTTTTCGCCGTTATATATTTATTATTTTCAGATTGAGAAAATAAAGTAACATAAATCGAATAATTTAAATAATGGAATGTTATCAAATATAACGATATGTTAATAATCGCTTAAAAATGTGAGAGACAAGATATTCGATATGAAATTGTAAAGTTAAATATACGATATAATATTTTAGAACGACAATATACATCGGCTGGAATGCGGCCTTGAAGTTTGTTTACAACGCGTGTACCTACGTGTACCTACGTTTCATTCGGACGGCAACGGCCGAGCCGACAGATAGTGATACGATTCGCTCCGTATATCGTCCTTTTATTCCTCTATTAATGATTATCAATTCATACGATTAATTTAATAATTAAAGATTGTACGTATCAAGGCATCAGGTATTTATTGGAATAAATATTTCGCGCAACTTTTTTATTTTAGAATCAATCGAGAACGATGATTATAAAAATTTTTTTATGATAATTGTAAATATACATTCCGCGTGTGTATTTCTTTACGAATGATTTATAATTATGTTTTATTTAGAAAATATTCGATGTTTTATTTTGAAGTTTGAGAACACATTCGATTTTTTATCTTAAATTTATGAAATTTTAAAAACATAGAATCGCAATTAAAAATATTCGAATATTAAGATAAGATACGTCGCATTACAACATATAGAAATAATACTATAAAGTTATTAAACATTCATTAAACATTCTGTTTATTAAGGTATATCTCATTTATTTCGCATCAAACTTTGACTGAAGTTTTTTTTCGGATATTAGGTACTTTTAATCCATCGTTATTTGATTTTTTAAAGATGATTGAGTATATATTCGCGTCGAAGTTCACACATTACATACGTGTCGCGCAACTTCAATTTGTTGAATTACGTCACAGGACGCTTCACACGCATCGCGGATATCGCGGACGATCTTTAATTGTTATTTATCGGATTAAGTGCGTAGTACGTGCCATAAGTATCGGGAGTGCCGTATAAAGTGACGGGCGACCGTTTTATCGTATTATTTAATGAAATCGTAATCGGTGGTGCCCTGGTGGACTTGCATCTTGTGCGAACAAGTGTCCGAAGCGACGAAGCAACCAACGAAAATATGGCGGCGTTTCGTCGACTGGTGAGTAAATTGAATTTATTTTCTTGACTTATCCAATATTATCTGTGAAATTTGCGCGAAAAATATTCAGCGCATAAAAAATCGCTCCAATATAATAATAGTATATTTAACAAAAAATCGATTTTCAAGCAGCTCAGAGAGTTAATTTAAATTGTAGATTAATATATATATATATATATATATATATATATATATATTCGATAAGCATTCGCAGTAGTCTCTCTCTTAAGAGTTTCATAAATATTTTAGGGACTCGCTATTTTTTATTTTATATATTTTGAGGAAGATAAAACTCGAATATTTTTTTATCGTTTGGCGTTTGATGTGGAATCGATCGCGATCGATGCTTTTCTTGTCGCGCGCGCGCGCGTTTTCTCGTCTTTGTTGGCAGTCAGCCAAAGGTAATGACAACCGCGCGCGAGATACAGGGAGTAGTAGAACGAGAATATTCCCGGGCTAAGAACCGGAGCTGTGAGAATCCCCTCGTCGAACCGGCACGTGCGAGCGGAAATGCAGGGGCCGTAGAGACGCAGAAACACGGGAGGCGGTCATTTGACGGTCTGATGGGATATCGCCGACGTGGATCGCCCACCGTCATCCACACGGCCGTTTCTCCTCCACGTTCATTTCTCTATCCTCCTCGTCTCTTCTTCTGTTCAGTGGTTCAGTGGCTTCAATAAATGCGAAGCCTTACGATAAAAATTTAATAACGAAAATTGTTCGATATTTTAATTACTCAATCTTTGATAATTGTGACAATTATAAATTGTAATAATTATATATATTTATATAAGCATTATAAATCAAATGCCAAAATTTTTATCGTAATTATTATATATGTATATATAATTTTATATATGTAAAATATATAAAAAATTTATGCTTATATGTATCATAAATATATATTTTAATTGTAAAGAAAAAAATTAATCAAAAAGAAAATTGAATCGTCGCAAAAATATTATTTTTAAATTTTCAGATGCGTTTGTGACTCTATCTCATATAAATCTATATAAAAGTAAATTTCATATATACATGAAAATTAATTTATTAAACGCCAGAAAATATTCTTTTATAATTTATTTTTTTAAGAATATAATATTTTTGCGACGACTCAATTTTCTTTAATTTTTTCTTTACAATTAAAGTACATATTTATGACACATATAATTATAAATTTTTTAACGCGCACGAAGAAGCTGACGGTCGTCCTATTGTGAAATCCGCCACTATCTCCTTTCGGTTTCTCTTCGAGAAACGACGCGGTCGCTCGCGCGAAGAAAATCCTGCCGTTCTCTTCTTTTTCCTCTTCTTTCGTGGTCGATCGCGATTCGCCAGTGTAACGTGACGCGTTGCGCCCTGTGGTTAATTCAATTAGGTGGAATCATAGTTACGTAGATCGGCGGCTACACGTTGGCGACCGCGGCCAACGTTAACGGCCGATACAGAAGGCGCGCCTCGGTCACGGAGCCATCGCGGACGTGCCTCGTGGACTCCCTTGACATTATCGCTAATCATCTCGAATCGATAGCCGCGTCTACGCGGTGGTATTGGTACAGGTATGCGCCGGACGTGCGCTGTAATGCGGCCAGATGCGGTGTAATTCCAGTAATTGATCTACGGGCGAGCGCGCCTTCGCTCGCAAAATCGCGTACAAGTCGCGCTAACAAAGATTTCCGCGTTAATCAGCGAGCCACGCGTAATTAGTCCCCGGTATTCCTCAAAGTCCTTTCGCGACACACACACACACACACACACACACACACACATGTGCGGCACGTGTCGAATTTTAAAACAATATTTTTTTTTAATAAAATCAAATATTTGAGCAAAATCAGGATCTTGTTTTAATATTGTAAAAAAACGGATTTTTTTACTAAAATTTCTGCATAGTAATCGTTTGAATTTCGAGGTACGAGACTCGTCTCGTTTTCTTTCTCGCGTCAGGAGACTTCCAGATTAACATCGCTCGAATACAGGATCTTGTGATCTCCGAATTCCTCTCGATCCTCGCGCCCGTTCTAGGATCCGAGAGTTATTACACGAAAAACAGACGAGCTCTCGTAACGACCTAATAAAACGAGCCGCCGGGGCCACCTGGTGGAGCGGGCCGCATCGGGGGCCCCCCGGGCACGTTGACACAACTCATTTTTACGCGATGCTCGCGCGCGATGGGCGGCCGCGCTCGTCCCGCGCTCTCGCACCCGCTGTTTATGTTGCTTTATGCCAATGTGCTGGCCGTACCACCGCTCGCTGGGCTGAGTAATGGCGCGAGATCTGTGCCGTGGTCGCCGAGGGGGTGCTTCTCAACTCGGCCTGAGCGCGAGAGATACCATCGGAGCTCTCGCGTAGATTTCTAGTCGCCCGTCGCGACGTCCCGCATACGTGCCATCCCGACGAAATCGTGGTGCTCCCTTCCTCAGGACCGCATATCCTGCTGGTACCCTGACTGAGAAATGAGACAGGCTGCACGCATCGTGGCCTGCAAACTCGTTTGCAATATTTAAAGATTACCTATGTAAAAAATGTCTTTGTGTACTAATTTTCTACAATGTTGATTTTCAACGATTAACTTCAAAATCAGTTTATAAATTTATGAATATAATTTTATTTGTAAATTATATTAAAGTAGATAATTTTCTAATATATTAATAATATAATTTGTAATGTATAATAATTCATTTAATTTCTTTTTAATTATTTATTGTTATATTTAATATATTAATAATTTATTTAATATATTAATCAGTAATTTATTGATTCAATAATTATAATTAAAAGAATCTCTTTATATATAATAATATTTGTTTATTAAATTTATTTATTAAATTAATGGTTAACTTTTAGTTTTTCTTTCGATTCTTACAAATTCATAAGTTTTTTATTGGCCATATAAATATGATTTTATTATTTGATAAATCGTGATATTTGAATAATAATCATTAATTTGATATTTAAGTAATTAATGAATAATTGTAAAAAAATCATTGTCATATTTCGAATTTTTTACGAACATGTATATTAGAATTCTCTTTTCGCTAATAACCTTTCATCTATCTAATATCAGTAAGAAATTAGTAAGATTTCTTCATCTATAATAGATGCAAAAGTAGTACAGGAAGAAATGTTTGTACAATTCGCGCAATTGCATTTTCTGCTGCCAGCAAATCGTGATT